TTGTGTATAGGAATCATGGCAGATATATGGAAAAAGGTGAACATAGTTCTAATCTACAAAAATAGTTGCAGGGAAGACCCTCTTAATTATAAATCTGTATTGTTGACAAGCAAAACAGTAGGAAAAAAGTAATTAAAAATCAAATGGGTAGAACACCTGGAGAGAAATGATGTAACAGACTCAGTATAGTTTTCAAACGGGAAGATGAGGCTCTTCCACAGGTATAACAAATCAATTTAGTTTGTATGATAGAGCCAGAGATTTTACAGGAAATAGATGGTTAAGTTAACAGTATTTATATGAAGCTGAAAAATATGGAAAAAAGTGAGACAAGAGTCACACATAAGAAATTGTTCTGGAAACTGGAACATGCTGGAGAAATGACGGAGACTTCTGACACGGATGAAAAATACCTGACAGAAAAATGAGGGCAGTAATCAGAGACAATGTATCAGACTGGAGAAGTGTTACCAGTGAATGGAGTACCACAGGGTTCAGTTCTGACACCAGTAATGTTCATTGTCTAGATAAACAATCTACCAGAAGGAATACAGAATTATCTGATCTTGCTTGCTGATGATGCCAAGCTACTAGGGAAGATACGAAATTTAGATGATTTTAATGCCCTGCTAGAAAACATGGACAAAATATGTTTATAGAGCAACACTTGGCAAATGGAATTTAATATGAATAATTGCCACATTATGGAAAGTGAAATAGGAGAAAATAGGCCACACTCAATCTATAAGTTATTTGAAAAAGCTTTAAATAATTCTGATAAAGAAAGGAATCTTGGGGTTGAAGATGAGTCGCAAAAATAAGGCTGAAGATATGATGTCCAAACCACACATCAGATCTCAGGGTTGTTCTGGATAAATATCCATCAGCTGAGGATCACAAAGAACATTGTGCAAGGAGCATATACTATACTTTCCAAGCTTAGAATAGCTTTTAAATACATGGATGGTGAAATACTAAAGAAATTATTCATGACCTTTGTGAGACAAAGGTTGGATTATGCAGCAGTTGTATGATGTACATATTTCAAGAAGCACATCATTAAACTAGAAAAGGTGCAAAGAGATGCAACTGAATGACTTCCGGAACTGAAAAAGGAGCTATGAGGAGAGGTTAGAGGCATTAAAAACAACCAAAGTTAGAAGATAGAAAAGAGGCAATATGATGTACAAAATGTTAACAGGAATCAACAAAATTGACAAAGAAGAGTTTTTGAAAACTGCAACTTCAAGAACAAGACATATGTTCAAACAAAGGAAACAAAGGTGCCAAAAAAACACTAGAAAATTCAGTTTTACAAATTTTGTGGTAGATGGTCGAGACAAGTTATGTGAGAAGGTGGTGGAGGCCAAAACCATCAGTAGTTTCAACGATAAAGAGTACTGGGAGGACTGGACACCACGAGCGTAGCTCTCATCCTCTAACTACACTTAGATACTGTAATTACAAACACACTGTAGGTAATTACAAACACACACACTAGTTAATTACATATATACATACATGCTGTACATATGTATGTACACATATATATATACATATATATATGTACACATGTATATATACATGTGACCAAAGAGCCAAAGCTCAACCCCCGCAAGCACAATTAGGTGAATACATATATATGTACATATGTGTACATATGTATATTTCTAAAGTTATATGTAAGGAATACCACTATTGACACGTGAATACAACATGTATGTACAAACAAATTAAATAAAGTGAGAATGGAAATAAATGGACTGAGTTAGTCCCATGCAGCACCCAGCCTCATTAAATTAATGCTGAAAAACAAATACTTTGGGCCACTACGGCTAAACTACGATAGATAGTGAATTTTTACTTGGAGTTTCATGCTTTCTGCATGCTAATTAACAGTATCAAAAGAAAGTTTTTCAGAAAATTGTTTTCTTGCACATTACAAATAATGCATCATTATAGCCTGTGCAGTTTATTTATTTATTTTTGTATTTATATATACAAGAGTTCTTACATTCTTGTACAGCCACTAGCACACACAGCATTTCGGGTAAGTCCTTAATCCTATGTCCCCCAGAATGCAACCATGCTAAATCGTTTAACAACCAGGTACCCATTTTACTGTTGGGTTAAACAGAGGTTACAGTTAAAGATTTGCGCCCAGTAAATCCTCCCCGGCCAGGATATGAACCCAGGACAAAGCGCTCGCCAAACGCCAGGCGAGCGTCTTACCACAATGCCATGGGGACCGTTTAAGGGTTAAACCTCCTCTCTCACACTTCACCTACAGTATTTCTGCATTTGTTCTAAATACTTATTGTATTATGTTTTGTACATCTTGATGTGTAAATGTTATATACTGTACACATATATAAATAAGCATATTGGAGTCAATTTACAAGCTTGATGATCATTTTTATTTTGTAAATGTTTCTAAGTATTTTTGTTAAAAAAATTCACCATTGAGTGTTGTGGTGATTAATGGTAAGTATGAAAACAACTCTTTTTCTTATTTTAACTTATTTTAATTGTTACTAAAATTGTGAACAACAGAGAATCAATTTATGGAAAAATTTCGCAATTACACTTAATACTGTAGATATCTTTGTAATATTCTATCTTGGAAATATTTATGGCCTGAGGTATCGAGTTGTTTGGACCATATTTTCTACAGTATTTGAAAACAAAATGCGTTTAGTCTTTTTCTTGCTAAAAAATGTAATAAATACAAATACTTCTATTATTTTTAATTTAACTGCATTTCTGCATTCAGTGGGAACAAAATGCTTATGAGGGCTCCACAGACAAAGGGCAAAAGAAGTTTCAACAGTATAAATATGTACTGTACTTTATGTTCATATTATACCAAACTTTCTTTTGTAATTTCCTTTTGGATTATTCATTTACATTATAATCCAGTGTTAGATCACCTGATGTCCTTACAGCTATAGTCTGGTACCTTGTCATAGGACCATCCCATTGTTCCTGAGGATTTTTTCTAATCTTTATTTTAAACTGAAGTACAATAATGACTTATCATTTATGGCTTCATTGGACAAGCTGTTCCATGGCTTTATTGCCTTGTGGGTGAATTTTTTTTATTGCTTTCTGTGTTATATATGTGTCTTGAGCTTAAAGCTGTTGCCCTTTGTATACATTACATTTGATCTTTTAAAGAAATGGTCTGGATTATAATATCATCCATTTTCTTCAGTATTATAAAAGTCTCGATGAGATCAGTCCTCTCATGTCTGGTTTGCAGGGTTCTTAACCCTGTGGTCCTAAACCATTCTTGGTATGAGAGTTGACTTAGTTCAGGGATGATAACTTACCATAGGCAGCCCTCGATTTGTGCATGGTTTATGTTTTGAAAGATGCCTGTAAACAAAAAAAAATATTTTTTAACTTTTGACTCGGTTATCTACAATATTTGAACAGCAATTCATACTAATTCCTCTAATTTCTTGCCACAAATACAGTACATAATAAAGTCCACAATAATTTGGGCATGCAATGATGCAAGAATGTAATCCCCAAAGTTTTTCAACTAAAGAAATGTGGCATGTGAGTGGTCAGCACACCATTGAGAATGTGGTGGACCTGTACCACAAGTCTACCATGTTCTCTTCCACATTCTTATTGAATAGTACACATACCTATTCCATTCAGTAATCTATGCTGAACCCACATAACAATGAAGTTCACTCATACAATAAAAAATGTTGGTAATGAAAATGCACATTTTCCAATGTTGTGCAAATCAAGGACTGCTTGTAAAATATTTATTACTTCAGGTACAGTATTTATCATTTACATTTTATTTTAGGCTTTTATGAGTTACCCATTATTGTTATTAATGTTGTACCAAAAACAATAATAATTTGTTTAGTAACTCATTTGGGCTTCAAAGTCACCTATTGCGGTCAAAGATAATATTTCCTCACCTAACTAATTGTATGCTATGTGTCATATGTTAAAGTGCAGTAAGTATTACGATCCCTCTCCTTCCCAAAGGTTCATGAATAAAACATAATTTTATGGGGCCTATAGCATAAAGGCTAAAAATAGCTTAATCAAAGCTCTTGAGCTTAATTTTCCACATAAATCACCAACATCGAATAATAAATAGCTTGGAATTGTTAATCTGTGTTTAAGGTTATCCAATCTACACTCGTCTGGTCCTGCCTTAAACCCTCACCTGCTGTTATGATGAAATACTCTCATAATACACATTTAGGTGCATGCAAAAACAACAAAAATAATAATAAAAGGAATAAAAAGAACTTTTGTGACTTTCATGTAAATGGAAACCCCTGAAGAATAAGCTTCCGAGTGCCACATAAGATAACCCCTCCCCTCTACTACTGACTGCCATGTAAGAAACCCTGCAATGGTCTGTTGCTTACTGCACTATAGGAGAAAATTCAAGAGGAGTTGTGGATCATGTAAGAATGTGAAGCCAGCATGACTATATAGCACATGGAAGAAAAATGAGGACAAGATATGAATACAAGGACAGAGTAGGAGCTGCGATTGGAAGGAAGACGGAGCGTAGGAACTATGCACAACCCCCTAGGATAATTGGGGATCGAATGCTTTCCTGCAAGAAGTGAGGTCGTTGCTGTACCAGCCAGCCCAAGTGGCTGGGCATGACCATGTTAAAGAAACACTCAAAAAATGCTGCTTACTGCCTTGGACTATTAAGTAAAACCCGTAGAACTATTATCATGGACTGAGAGAGCCATGTAGAACTACCACATAGGACTTCCTGAGCTGATTATCATACATCAGATATTCAGACATAAACAAGCAAATTTTTTAAAAATAAATCTTCATTTGTTAATTTCGTGAAGCAAGCATCTTGCTACTGTGTAAAGGAAGAAAATACTGTAACAATGTAGAATGTTAATATAGAAATAGCAAGTTGATAATTTCCTTATTGCTTCATGGGATTACAGAATTTAGTTCTTTATTTCCAAAATTGTTATTTTAAAGTTTATCATATTACAAGATAAAAAACCACTGTTAATTAAGAGAGAATAGTAATTGGAAAAGATGGTGGGAAACAGTAGTTGTCTCAAAGACTTTTACAATATAGTACAGTACTCGCTACTATATTTGTGCTTGTATAAATAACTCGTTGGTATAAATTTAATGGTGCCAGTGTGACCAGTGCTCATTGAAGAGTAAAGTTTACCTACAATTAACCTAAATATGAATTATATGTTGGGAATATAATAAGCATACTTTTATAGATTTTTGCAGTCAATTTCAGAAGCATGTCTATGGCTCTAGTGGCTCTAAAGCTACTGTATTGCCTTCCAAAATAACACTTTCCTAGTCTTGACTTTTCAATAGTCTAAAAAATTTTGAATACAGACACAAAATCCCTGTAAATAATATACCTCCAAGAATGTGATGTGTATTTATTATTTGTGTCTGCAGAATTGAGCCATTAGCTCTTGGACCCCGCCTTTCTAACCAATCTATTTTTCTCTCTTATCTACTACATATATTTCTAACACCTGTACACACACACATACACACACACACACACACACATATCCCCAGGAAGCAGCCCATATCAGCTATCTAACTCCCAGGTACCTATTTACTGCTAGGCAAACAGGAGCACCAGGGTGAAAGAAACTCTGCCCATTTGTTACCGCATCGTCCGGGAATCGAACCCGGGCTCTTAGGACTACAACCCCCGAGCGCTGTCCACTCAGCCCCGAGGCCCCTAAAGCATATAGGGGCCATGTATGTGTATATAAGCATCCAAATTAACAGCACAAGCATTGCTTCTTTTAACACTGGCTACATGATATGACTAATCATAGTTTACAGAAATTAACATTGAAGAAATGAAGCCAAGTTGGCTTAGAAAATGTAACAGTGTTTAATAACTATAATATAAAGTTAGACATCAGTAAATGGTACAGTGTACATTTTTGTACATGGTTCTATTTCTTTCCCATTTGACATTAATTGTACTTAGAAAATCATATTCATGGTCTGTTATTCAGTAAAATATATTGTTTGAACTTAATCTTTTATGCCAATACACAAGTTTTAGAATCCTTAATGTGTTTTGTTTGACTTTTGTTATTGGATATATAATTATTAAAATAAACCCGAATTTAAACCAGTAATTTGTTTGTGTGTGTATCAATTCATCTGCAGACTGACGTACAGTACAACCCGCCCATTGACAGAGAAATGAATATCACAGTATTCAGGCGGTTCAGGATCCTACAAAATTTTGGTGGTTATGGAACTGGTCTAATAAATGAGGTTAGCCTGCAATATTTTGTAATGTAAATTGGGGGAACAGGTTTTAATATGAAAGTGTCAAAATTAAAATTACTGAATGAACTAACATTAGATAGTTTTCTCCAAACTAACCAAAATAATTAATACTGGTTTATGGGAGCTCATTTGGACAGTTAGTGTAAAGACACTCATTATTATTGACCGCTCTCACTGCTCGAAATTAAATAAGAGAGAACACAAAACAATTTGGATAACCAAAAGAGTTCCTGCAGAAATATAAATTAATGTAATTACTTTTGCAAATGTTAATTATACACTGTATAACAAAAATTGTCTTCACAATTTCTGAGCTTTACCACTTGGTTGCTTCCTTGGACAAAGTTCTGTTATTCCCATAGACAGAACTACTGTATGCAATCAGAGCATGACGATATTCAGCATCGGTCATACATGAATATTTTTTAATGCTGCTGTAGGGGCATTTTGGAACTTGGGAGGTAAAGTACTAGAGAATACTCAATCCAGCTTGGGATAATCTCAGAAGGCTCAGTCGTATACAGTACAGAGTACTGCTGTTTGAACAGAAGACACTCCTACAGAATTCAGGCTACGCTGGAAACTGCTTTCAGTTGAAAAGCATGGGCATTTTGGCCCAGAACTCATCTTTGACTGCAATGTTTTTCATCCATTATAGATAATTGATACTATAGATAATTCTGTGGACTTGAATTATTCGTATACAGTACTGTACTGTATTTTTAATTGGGCTATGAATGAATTAGAAGGATGTTTAGCAGCAGCATTTGTCAGGCTGAACAATGCACCCATTGTACAGTTGTTTGTCCAATAGATAAGATGAAAAACAAATGTTAGCTATTTAAGACATGAGGAATTTTATAAAACCACTTAAGAGTAGCCATACTGTAGTTATCCTGGAGAAGGAGTATATCATATGTACCAGCACTGTTTCTGATCAAATATAGTATATAATGACTGCATAGTGCATGCAAATGTTTTCGGCAGCACAGGTACACCTCGCTTGGCCACTCAGGAGTCGCATTTGCTTCACAGCAAATTTAAGTTAAATATTATATTTTTAAATGTTTTATATTTTTGCTTACAGCTGTATTACAGTATGGTTTTGCCATATGTTCAAATATTAATATATGTAAATATAGATACATTGTGTGCGGTAATAAAAAAAATTGTTTTTTTAAAATGAGCAAACTTTCGATGCAACGGAATGTCAGATGGGCCGGATGAGAGTTTGTCCAAATTAATCCATTAATTGAGAGTACATAGTACTGTATTGGTACTTTAAAGTATACTCGAAACTTTTCCTAGCACTACTTTGTATCACAGGGACCGTAAATCTGGGCTCTGTACATGCACAGACCAGTACATGCACCCCAATAGGCACTTAACTTGTCTGTATACAGTTGTTGCCAGTATCAGCTTGCCTATAGGAGCTGCTGAGCTGCAGTCCCCTAAGACACTCAATGCAGGTGTATGACTCCATGAACCTCACACAAGAATAATAAGCAACTAACAAATGTCATAAAAAGTCTTTAGGTTATTTTCAACATATTTATAACTGAATTTTGAATTAAATCGAGACAAAAATAGAAGTTTCATGCTGCACGATAGTGTAGGAGTTATTGGCACTGCACCTGACAATGTTGAGCTGCATTTGGTGCAGCCCAATCAATCTGTGTGAAGCTTGCAGTGACACAGTCCCTCCATGCTATTTTGCCATGGCTGCCACTGGTTGTTGCGTATCTTTGGAGTTCTGATCTGACTGGTTCGTGTTATAAGTTCTGGTTCAGTTTGTGTTTTAGTGGTAGTGGTTATTTTCCTGTTCTATTTTCCATGGGTTATACCTTGGTTATGTTGTTATTGGCTATACTGCATTTGATTTTGAACTTTCTCATTTTGATCTTGAGCTGCCTTTGCCCATTCTTGTCTTACTGATAAACAGGTTATGCTACCTCAAGGCATGTGCCTTAGCAGCCAGAAATCAATACTGCATATCTCTGGGCAGAGTTTCTAATACCTGTTATTGACTTCAGCCATTATTGTTTCTCCCCTTGTATGGTTTCCTTTGACATGATTATATGGAACTTGGCACTACTAAGATTGAGTTTTTGTCATTACTCCAGTTGGATTAAAGGGGCATCCACACTGGGGGGGGGGGGGAGGGTGGCAGCAAATAACTCCTAGGCTAACACACACACAACTTAATAATGGTCCAGGACGGACCGAAATATCATCGTTTCTTCATCTTCTGATGTGTGGTTTGGTCATCATATAAATCTAACTATTTTTCTAATTGACTAGTTTCCTCTGGCATCGCAGAAGAAAACTTTGTTTTAAACATTTTTAAGGCTGTGTATTTGATTGTTAATAAAAGACGAGATGACCCCTTGTTTCATCAAATGGGTCTCATATTTTTTATATTTGTCATCTTAAGTCTTGCCCAAAACATATGTACTGTACTAAGGATTCCGCAATTTAGATACAGTAATTTTGTATACATTATATAGAGGTGGAGCCTCTGAATATTGGTAGTATACTTTATATTTTACAAAATTTGTAGTTATCATTTGATGGGATAATAAACTGACTTGGTGGCTGGTCAGTAATTAGCAGGTGTTGTTTAAGATTCAGCTACTCGGAACAAAATGTTGCAAGAAGCACGGGCTATGGTGAGCCCGTAGTGGACTTACCTGGCACAGGAGCAGGGCTGTAACATGTTAGAATGTAGCTCCAAAGTTCATTATGTCTAGTGCTGTATACTGAATGTGCACTGAATGTCATTCTTGGCCTAACATGAAAGTGCAATTGAATGTATTCTTAATTCAGCTATTTGTTAATGGTTTACCTTGAAAGTAATTCTTTGCTTATATTTCCCTATAAAGTTGCAAATAAAACATAGACCATCTGGTTTCCCTACTGTAATTTGTTTTCCTAAGAAAATAGTTATTGTTTGTAGGACTAATAGATTTTATCCATCCTTGTTTGAAACATTATACGTACAGTAAAAGACAGTAAGTAGGTGAAGTTGTACATAGTATGTAAAGAATGTTTATTTAATTGCTTCTAACCAATTAAATAAAGTACTGCGTAATATATGCAGTACTGTATATCTATTAATCATAGATATGCCTAAATATATAATATACTATATTAGTCATAGATATGCTAAATATATGTAATACAGTATATATAGTATATCTGTAAGTGTTAGATACCACTCTGCTGGGGAGCATTTTCTTCATATTATTATTCATCATGAATTATTCTGTACAGCAGACTATATACAGGGTATGTATGTACAGTATTCCATAGTTTTATGGTATGTAAACAAAAATGCAAGGAAAGTATTTATATGAGAAGTGAGGTGACAGGGAGAAAGTACCAAAGAGTAAGGTGCTTGGACAAAGTACACAAATTGTGTTTATTAAAGTGAATATGCAATTCTTTATGGGACTAAGATTGCATCAAGGAGACTCGGTAGGGGCTAAATGGGTTATCTTTAATAATTGTGAATAATACAGTAATACGTACAGTACATATAATACACAGTAATACATATATACTCTGTAAATATACTTTTTCTTTCTTTGGATACCCATATAAAATTTAATACAAAATACTTCTGTTATACTAAACTTACTTCAAGTCGTTTAGTATTTAAAATTTGCTTCTGTTCTTGTATTTGCATAATGGCAGCTGTTGTAGATAATTGGAAAAATCCTTATCTTGCATGAATTCTTTTCCTTCATTTTCTCCAAATAGCTTTCATGTAGTTACCCTCAGTGCCCCATCTGCTTCCACTTGACCTGTGTCTTGCACTGCTGTGTTTCAGGGACACTTTCATGCCTCTTGCGAAGTGCATTAATGTGTACCTCAGCCCCAGTGAACACAATCTTCCTTATTCTGTCCCATTTCTATTTTAGTGACTATTAATTGTAGTGTGCTTGGCTTGGGATAAAATAGGCTTTGTCTGATTACTGGGATTTAAATTTGTAGTTAAGTATGTTAGTTATCATTTAAGTTGTTCTTAAGCAGCATTTCCTTGTACTGTATTTGTCTTGTTGCCACTGGGAACTTGCCTGTCTTGAAAATGTTGCCTCAAATAGTCTTTCTGTGGCATTTCAGAATAGAAATAGATTTGACTACAGATTTAACATTTTTAATATTTTTTTTGTTAATTTAATCTCTCTTGATACTGTTGTTAATGAATTAAATCGTTGATTTATCAACAGGAAAACCACTCTCGGCGGATGGTGACAGAAAAGCTATTGCAATATGCATTTCCTGCGTCTCATAAGCTGCCTTTCTTTGCTTTTGAGTACTGTGAGCAGTATCCCGAAAATGGTTGGAGTGTTTATGAGCCCATTGCTGAATTGAAGAGACAGGTAAGAACAAGCAGCATGAGTGTTGAAAACCCCATTAATGCTTGTGAGTTTATTGCATCATGATCAGTTTTACCAAATAACCAAGTTTTCTTTTTCTATATAGATCTGATATTGTCTTAATGCCATTTTAGTGAGATCTTGCACTGTCTTGACTTTATGGATTGGTAAACCTGATGAAAATGTGTCATTGGTTCGTACTGTAAATATAACTAGGATATAGTAATGCACAGTGATTTATATTATTTTGTGTTTGCAAGTACAGGGTAGTACACTATAGAAAAAGGAAATTTTGAGAACAGTTACATTTCACATGACATAAGATAATAAATACCTGTACGTTCATACTCCCAGTCTGTGCTCATCCATCACCCTCGATTGCCTCTCAAATTCCAAATTGAACTGGACAGTTGCTGGTAGAGGGATCACTGAATGTGAATGTCTCATAATAATTTTATGCTTATTTAGCTCTTTATTGTAATATACTGTACAGGGTATCCCAGAATTAGCTATCTATTTCTAGGAAATCGGACAAATCTATTCGTAATCTATGTAATTTCATGTTTTTTACCTAATTTTGATGCAAACACAGGTTTATAAATCATGTCGAATCTTTATGGAAAACTTCATATTTGAAGAATTTTCGTACTCCTTCGATACTGTTACGTTCTGGCATTACGTGACAGTATCGAAGGTTGTCCTCTTCCCATGTCATTGTGTACGAATCCAGTTCTTTTAAGTTTGTTCACAAGTTCATGAATCTCTCTATCTGTAGGACCGATTCTGTGAAATCTCCTTGTAAATCTTTCTCTGATTTCATTATTTTGTGATCCTTTGATACCGGATGTCACAACAACGGTGCATTCTTGTGCATTCATTATTAGGATTAGAATTCTGAATGGAGAGAGCACACTTTAGACATTTTTACATTTATAACACATATTAAACATGATAAACATCGATAAACATGAGTTTTAAAAAAATTGTCTGATTTCTTGGAAATAGATGGCTAATTCTGGGACACCATGTAATTTTTGTGTTTATAAATGTTTGCAAATTATTTATTATTATTAACATCTTTATTGACAAAATTAATTACAATTTTGCCTAATCTGAGGATTTTGATAGTCTTATTAAATTGAGGATAATGCTAGTATTCACTGTCATGCAGGACAGAGGGTCATACATAAGACAATAGGTCTAAACTGTAGGCTGGAGCACATATATATCATGGTTACAATCAATGTTCTATTGTATTGTAAAAAGAAAAATACTGAGACATATCAAATTTTATTAATTTTTACAGCTGAAAATGCAATACAGTACCATATATAATTTCCTTAACAATAACTTTGTTCCTTTCTTTTGTTTTCTCTCCATATTGGAGTCATGTACAGTACGTACAGTACTCATTCTCTGTTGTGACTTATCTCTATCTTTTGCCCATATCTCAAGAAGCACATAAATTAACTGGAAAAGGTGCAAAGGCATGCTACAAAATGGCTTCCGAAATTGAAAAATCAGAGTTTTTCTGGAGGAAGTGAGACACGAGGTGTTAAACATGCCAAAACTAGAAGATAGAAGAAAAAGGGGTGATGTGATCACCACTTACAAAATACTAACAAGAATCGACCAAATTGACAGAGAGGAATTCCTGAAAACAGCAACTTCGTGAACAAGAGCACACAGATTCAAGCTAAGAAAACAAAGGTGCTAAAAATATTAGAAACTTTTCTTTTGCAAACAGAATGGTAGACGGTTGGAACAAATGAGAAGGTGCTGGAGGCCAAAACTGTCAGTACTGTAGTTTCAAGGCGTTACACGACATTGAGTACTGAGAAGATAGGACACCACGAGCGTAGCTTTCATCCTGTAACTACACTTGGGTAATTGCTCATGGTATCCATCTTCCCAGTACTCTTTATCATATGATGCTTTGAAACTACTAGTACTGACAGTTTAGGCCTCCATCACCACCTCATTTGTTCCAACTGTCTACCACTGTTTGCAAAAGTGAGCATTTTAATTTTTTTTTTCAGCTTTGTTTTCTTAGTGTGAACCTATGTCATTTTGTTCTTGAAGTTGCAGTTTTCAAAAATTCTTCTTTGTCAATTATATAAATTCCTGTTACTATTTTGTGCATAGTGATCATGCCACCTCTCTTCATTCCATCTACTAGTTTTGGCTTATTTAATGCCTGTAATTCTCCTCGTAGCTCTTGTTTTTCAGTTCTGGGAACAATTTAGTTGCATGTCTTTGCACCTTCAGTTTATTGATGTGATTCTTGAGATAGGGGCACCATAGATAGGCTTGAGATAGACATGTTGTGTGGGGGGGAGTGAGTTCCAGCTCTGTACATGTTGTTAGCTGCCAGTTAAAGGATTACATCTATTGTAATTTAAGCTGCAAATTTTAACCAGCTGTCATATTGTAATATTCTTAGGAAATTTTTGTATTTGTCTAGTAGTGCAATCATATACATAAAGGTGAACATTTACCACAGATAATTTTCCTTTTTAATAGGTGTCTCCATCAGCTCTGTAACATAGCAGTGTGTTTAGTTATTGCTGGATGCACGATAACATTGCTTACTGGCATTTGGTAAATGCCCAGTTGTGCATAAAGCTGTAATTTATTATTTTCCCCATCTAGGGATTACCAAATGAATCTTGGCGCATCACACGAATAAATGAACTCTATGAGTTATGTGAAACCTACCCAGCAGTATGGGCAGTGCCAGCAGCAGCAAGTGATAACGACCTGCGTAATGTTGCAGCTTTTAGGAGCAGAGGAAGAATTCCGGTAAGGTTTCAACAGTTATTCAGTAATTGATAAGAGTACTGGATTTTTTATTTACCGTAAGTTGCCAGTAATGATACATTGGTTTGAGCCATTATTGTCTTGGTATATTATGGGAAATATTAAAGAAATAATAACCATATCTTTGCTGCTTGTCTAGGGAAGGTTTGTAGTTTTTTTTTTTTTAATATTTATGTAAAATCAGGTATTGTATGAGAGCATGAAGGGTGTTAAACAAGCTAGATAGTTATACCTAAATAGGGCTGATAGGAATTTTTGTGAAAGTAATAATTATAGAATGGAACATGCCATGAAAAGTAAGAAGATAGATGGACTGTACTTTTTAAATTTTTCAGGTTTTCATGTATTATTATAAAGTATATGATTTTGGTTCACAGGTGCTAAGTTGGATTCACCCAGAAAGTCAGGCAACTATTACTCGCTGCGCTCAGCCTCTTGTTGGTGTTAGCGGAAAGAGGAGTCGTGATGATGAGGCTTATATACAGCACATTATGGATGCTAATGCTCAGAGTCATAAGATTTTCATCATGGATGCTCGGCCCAGGTAGAAAAGAGTATACTTTAAGCGTTTAGGAAAAATATTATTTGACTAAATCTTAAATATATTTGCATGCAATTCTGTTGCACTGCATTTCAAAGCAGCTATTTTCAGTTTATCTATTATGAAAGTTCACTGCAAGTCCTTTTGAATAGTATCATGACCATCAGTGCAAGGTGACAATTTCACCCGTGCAACAGAAATCTTTTCATATGTCCCTGTCGATTCCCTTCAGGTGCTAGGTAGGCACAGTAGAAAACTTTAATCCAACCCTGAGTGACCATATAAATTTTACTCAGAATCATTCAAAGCCAAAATATGTTCTCACAAACTGCTAGTTTACCCACCTGGTCACCTAGATGGCTATGTCAACACCTGGTCACAGACAAAGAAAGAGGTCTGTCCACAAGGACTGCTAGATTTGAGGGAGGAAAGAAGAGTATTAAAATATCCTGCTCAGAACGAAGCTTCATGTAATCACTAAGTCAGATAACTGAGCTATTTCATGTGAGTACTTTTTTGGCAATTCTTTGGTGTCACAGCAAGCAGGTTCTTTCAGTAGTGGATTGAAGTATCCTTGCCAGTGAGCTCCCCATCCTTATAGTAGAAAACAAGAGTGTTTGAAAATGTTTTGCCTTAGTGGAACTTAGTTGCCCTGAGCCTGATGTGCTAACTGTGGCCTGTTTGTACTTGGTTGCTCCTTTTAGTGGAGCAAACAAGAGGAGCATGCCAAGAAAAGTTTTTTTAATAGTACTGTACAGTATTAACACTTTCACGCTTTCGGCAAACGAAAAAAAAAAACTTGCCCCTTGTGTGTGCGCGGCGTTTTGGGTCATATGATCAGCTGGAAATTACTATGTTGCAATTTGTCAATTAGGATTTCACAGTGGACACTTTTGTGACTATTCAAATTATGGTGGGACAATCTGATAGGAAAATTTGTCATTTTGCTGTATTTGTTATAAAGGAGTTGGTATACATTACTAAATGTAACGAAAAACACTCATTTCCTCTCAGTGTGAATGCTGTTGCCAACAAGGCCAAGGGTGGTGGATATGAGAGTGAAGATGCATATCAAAATGCTGAGGTGCAGTTCCTGGACATCCACAACATCCACGTTATGAGAGAGTCTCTTCGCAAGCTGCAAGGTAAAGCTATTTTTGTTTTCCAAGAAATTTCTTTATGGAGCATCTTGTAACATGTAAATATTTGAAAGCTATGGAAAGTAAAAGAAATGTAGTATAGTACTATGTTGGTGAACTAGTTTATGTAGGCCTACTACAGTATTTGGTGTGCTAATTGGTGCCCAATTGGTGAACTACAAACATTTCTGACAGATTTCCTTAAATATGAAATGTTGGTACTTCTTTCAAACATTTTTATTTTCAGAGGTGTGCTACCCCCACATTGACAATGCTCATTGGCTCAGCAATCTTGAAGCTACACACTGGCTGGACCACATTCGATGTGTGTTGAGTGGAGCCCTGCGTATTGCTGACAAAGTGGAGAGTCACAAGACCAGTGTAGTTGTGCATTGCTCTGATGGTTGGGATCGTACTGCACAGGTCAGTTGAAGTTTCCGCCCTGTGAATACGTTTTGGAGTGAAATATCGAATTGTAATGTTACTGTACTTTGTAAATATATTTTGAAATGAAAAGTAACATACTACCTGATGTTTGTTGCAATATAAATGTGGAAAAATTTATGTAAACTTGTATATATGTACTGTATGTGTATATATGTACTGTAAACTTGTACTGTACTGTATATATGTACTGTATCTATTTATATAGTTTATAATAATTTTTAACTAATTTTCCATTACTAATTGATGGTTTTATCAAATTTAGCTTACAGCTCTTGCTATGCTAATGTTAGATGGTTACTACCGCACCATCAGCGGTATTGCAGTTCTTATAGAAAAAGAATGGCTTAGCTACGGTCATAAGTTTGCTCAAGTAAGTATTGCATCTTGTTTCAATATGTAAAGTGTAGGATAATAGCTGTATAGTACTTAAATTTATTTTTGGGGTTTGAGAATGTATAGTGAATACTTCTTGAATTAATAAGTTGATAGCATACCGTTAAGTTTTAAATTTTTTATGAAAGTGAATACATTTGTTCAATACTGAACAGTCATTCATCTGCTGTGTAGTTGTCAATTTCCAATTAGTCCAAGAAAGTTTAGCTAATGGATTGGTTAAAATTTTAATTAAATTCAGAAGCAGTGCAAATTAATGAGTTTGTGGTGAGGTGGTCAGATGCAGCACCTACTCAGCCACAAGAAGCAAGCTCTGCAGTTGACCACCAGAGGCAGAGCATACATGATATTGCGCATCATAGTTTTAGTATTGACTATTCAAAGTGCTAGTTTCACTCATACTCTTGGTTTAGTTTTGACAAATATCAAACATCCTATGAATATGTTGGATAATAAGGTTGATGTCATACCAAAGGCTTTGACTAGTTGCCAAAATAAGTGGACGTGTGTAGTGCTGACTTTTATCAGAAAATACATATAATCTACATTAAAGGTTTAGCTTCGTGCACTTTATCCTTGAGCTTCCTTAGCAAAGTCTTACTGTAAACGTAAGTAAACATTTCTAATTAAATGCAGTTTCATCTGCATTATATGTGATGAATTAACACTCGTAACAGCACAACTTAAAGCTTCACCAGAAATCTTCTGTTGAACAATCTTATTTCTTTACTTAAACCTATGAATCCACCTTAGGCTAACCCTTGAACTCCGTAATCCCTAACTTACCAGCAAACTTGGCAGCAATCAAATTCTGCTCTCCAATCACAGTCCCTAGTAGCACACATGTACCTCAGTGTTCGAACACCCAGCCATGGTATGGGTATGGGGGCTCCATAATAAATGTACAAAATGAAAATTGAATGCACATGTGACACTTTCTCCCTGTGCTTATAACCATGCTAGGAGGCTCTTATCTCCATACAAACCTTTCACTCTGTCGAGCTCTCTAACCCCCTCCTCTCACCCTTTCATGTATTTCACTCTTCATTTGCAAGATAGTGATTATCTTCCTCTACCACATGATTCCATCTTTCTCAGCCTTGTTCACCCCCTTCCCCCCAATGCTACTACCTACCATATCACTTCCACAATGCAACCACCACAACTCTATTAGTAAAGATATCCTCCACTACACAAAGGTTTTTGTTAAAGATATACAACCATGTAATTGTTTACTTTATGGTTATTTATGATGTATTAAGTATGAATTTCATATGTATGCAAAATATGATTAATCTGTTAGTGATAAGGATGTATAATGCTAAATATGAAAGGCTATTTTCTTACACTTGCAGCGTATTGGACATGGCGATGACCGCCACCAGGATGCAGATCGGTCGCCAGTGTTCCTACAGTTTGTCGACTGTGTGTGGCAGATTATGAGGCAGTTTCCACATGCATTTCAATTTACTGAAGATTTACTCATCACATTGCTGGATCATCTGTATTCATGCCTCTTTGGTACATTCTTGTATAATAGGCAAGTACTTATCATCAAATGTATCAGAACTTTTATCTTCCAAGACATCTTTAGAGTGCCTTTTTTGGTAAATACAATTTTCATTAATCAAGATTATGAAAGTATGCAATGTCAGTTCTTTTATTTTATAATTTATAATTTCAAAATTTTCACTTTTATTTATTTACTGTATTTGATTTTTAAACTTTTGCATATTTTTATGTAATTCACCTAAACTGAATGTCATTAGTTTTTATATTATTAATATTTTAAAATGTTTTGTATCATTCATTTTGAAGAATGCTTCCTTTTGAAGTTATTTCCTTGCAGTTAAATAGTAAATTATGGACATAGTAAATTATGTCCAAAGTTGCAATGCTACTTTCACTGTTCGGTAACAGAAATATCCCTGGAAAACAAAATTCAGTTAGATTTTCTCATACCCAGTTTTTTAATATAGTATGGTACTTTACAGTGTACTGGTAAAGAGGGTTAACCAGTACACCAAATTTGTATTAAAAAGGGGCAAGCAATGAGTTAACCAGCATATACCTACTTAGTGCAGCATATGCAGCATATGTTGGTGCATGAGTGTTTGTACAGTAACACAATTGCAAGCATCTTGTGGCAAGTTATTTTTGTCAGCAGAAATCATTATAATTCTTTGATGATAGCCTCTAATATCATTAACAATATTTTGGCAAGTGTTTCAGGAAGCAGTATAAAAAGAGAATGCATGTTGCACAATTAGTATAGGACATAAAATAGAAATTATAAGAGGCTACCCACCACAGGTAGCTTTTGTTTATAAAAATGTTGATTATGGCATTAGCAAAGCCAAGAATTTATCAGCTACTCTATACCTAAAAGTAGGCTATACTTCAAGAAGTAGTGCAGGAACAAATGCGTACAGATTTAACAAATAGTAAGGTGAGCAAAATTTGCTGGCAATTAAGCGGTTCTATTTTTGCTGGTCAAGAATGATGATGCCATCACCCCACCACATATAACTGAATTTCTGTGGCCTCAGTGATAGTGCCTCATTGCCTAATTTAATGATTGATGGTTAATAAATCTTCACAAGTGTGTATTTTAAGGATAAATATTTGTCGTCATATCCTGTTTTTTATTTTCATAGCATGAGAGTTACCTACCCAGATAAAATAAAGTAAACGAAAAAAAAAGAATATGAAAAACATCTAAAAGCCACACTTCACATGCATCATCACTTGATGCTTAAGTAATTTATGGTAATTTTATTATTAAATATTTGACTAGGATTATTTTCTTAAGTTCTCATACTTTTAGTGAGTGTTAATTTGTTACCTGATAATTGTTGCTTTTTTTTTTAGTGAACGAGAAAGAATGGAGAAGGAGGTGAAAACAAAAACAGTCTCGCTCTGGTCGTTGATTCTTAGTAATCAGTCGGATTTTGAGAATCCGTTATATAACCCAGCAACCCGCCATCATGTTCTCTTTCCTCTCACTTCTATGCGTCATCTTTGTCTCTGGGATAAATATTACTGCAGATGGAACCCATCAATGCGACAGCAGGTATGATTCAAGTGGATTGCTAACCCAAAATACATTAATTAAAAAAAATTGTAATTATTTGCATTGTATTTTGTTATTCTCTTAAGAGAGTGATTAGAGTATCACCTCTTCTCTAGGGTTTACCATCATTTTGTTTCACCTGTATGTACTCCAACATCTTTCTTTCCATTGGATTGAACCTACACCTGGATTGGTTAGGTTACAGCACTGCAGCTGCTGGTCTTGGGTCTTGGTCTCTTATTTGGATTGTGTTTCTGGGTGGAGGGCCTGGGACCTTGTCTAGGTGTTTATCTGAGGTTTCATTTTATTTTTAAATTTTCAGTGTCAGTACCCTAAAAGTCATTAGGTTCCCCCTCCCTTTCAGGTGGGATCAAGTGTTATCTATCCCAAAGGGACATCCTTGTTGGAGCTTCGATCATTCATCCCTGGATTGGGAGGTGTTTCAACTCTAGGTTTCAAGATTTCATTTATTCCACCACCTTGTTCTCATTAAAGAACCTTGTAAACATTGCACCCCTGATCTCATTCCATCAACCTGTTCATATCCAGATATATAATGGCCCTGTGCCTTTTTCAATCGAACTCGTGCATTTGAAACACCTCGAGTTTATTAGTGGCTTTAATACTGTATAAAAATGTTATAGAAATAAAGCATGAATTGTAACTTGCCGAATAGTAACAGTAATGAAGTTTTCTGATCTTTGACAGGAGCCGGTTCACATTCGTTTCAAGGAACTCCTTCATGTTAAGGGCCAACTTGAAAAGCGGGTTGATGAACTTAGGAGAGAACTAGCAGCAAGACAAACTCACGATTCTCCCCGTGTGGCTTCGGCCATTGTGTGATAAATGTAAGTTTTCGTACTTGTGATAACCACCCGAGGCAACTTGGAGGGAATAATTCCACATGAATGAGATTATTGAATGAACTTGAGTAAACCTGTCATATCAGTATAATGTTGATATTTATCTGTCTAATGTATATATATTTTTCCCTACTTACGAGGTAGGGTAAAAATAGTAGAATCATCCCTAGGTATTAGGCTATTTTTTCTTTCTGGCAGAAAGACTAAAATTGGTCCTGTAGAAAATTTTATGCAGAATATGCATTTGCCTTAAAATCTGTTGTCATTGTTTATACATTTCAGGCAGGTTAGAGAAATGAAGGTAGTTCTTCATTATCGTGTATTATATTAGACAAATTATTTTTTATCTTTGTCAAAGACAAACTAAACAAACTACATTTATTTAAGTAAACCTTATAAGGTTTCAATACATTGACTCAAGGGAATGTTTTTGTATACAAAGGCTGTGGTATATTAAAAACTTAACCCCCATTGTTCCACTTATGTGTTTGTTGCACACACATAAAAAATGCTCATAACATATTAAGTATGCACTTATGTACATTCTCAGCTATCATTAAAATGATCAGAAAGATTACTTGAAATGCGCCTATTACTGGTATAAGAATTGATGTGGAAACGAATGCAGAACAAATGTAACATACCCAGATCATGTCGTAATGTGGGGACATTACAGTTGTTAAGTTATAGATGGTTTGATTGTAGTGGGCTAAAGATTATCATAATTTTAATTATTAGTTATTTATCTTTAATGTGATGTGATAGTTTCTCCTCCAGGAGAAACTATCACATCACATTAAAGAGAGAGAGAGAGAGAAGTTTGCCAGAGGTGAGACTTCGTGCCACACTTGTGATTCGTAAACAGTATAGTTCTTTTTTTAGCTTAAACCCAGTATACATGTGCATAATTTATTAGTAATGAGCAATTGAGTTGTAAATCATTTAGTGAACAGATAAAATACAAAATGCCTTGATAATTTCAAGATTCAGGCCATTTAAAGTTTGTAATTATATCAAAAGCAATTAAAATATAGTATTAAAATCTTGCAAATAGTCTTTGCAAGTCTTTTGCTTTTGGCCTTTCATTTAATTTTACGGCCACTTTGAGCTTGTATTCATTCTATGGGCCTTAATGTAAGCAATTAGCCACTCTGAGAGTATCATGACAAATCACATGCTACCAATCTTACCTGTAAAAGGAAAATCTCTATATTTCAAATTGAATGTCAAGAGTAATAGTACTGTACTACAGTGTCCCTCCCACCTGTTCTACCTGTTGAAGGTTCTGGGGATCCACGTCCCCTCAGCCCAGTTTCCAACTAGGCCTCTTGGTTGCTAGTCTGATCCACCAGGCTGTTTGATGTGGCTGTTTGCAGCCTGACATACGAGTCACAGCCTTCCCCCTGGTACATTGTTAATTTGTTCTTTAATTTGTACTATTGAAATTTGAATGCACTTCACTGAACTAGAATTGTGTATTTATATAGAAATGCTTTTGCATAAGGTAACTTTGCACAAATATTTAATTGTAAGGTGATTCAAGTGAAATATTGAAAATTGAAGCATGTATATACAGTACAGGTACTATAAATATAGAATTGTCATACATAGTTAGTTTTATTTATAATACAATATTTGGAAATTAGAAATTGGATTTAAAGGTAACATGAAAATGCATCTTCCATGCTAGCTGACTTGGATATAGGGTTTCTTAAATTTATTCTGGCTCTTAACTTGTGCTTCACCAAGTACATAACCTAATTGCTTACTTTTAAATGCTGATCAATATCTTTAGTTCAAATTTGTCTCTATATCTTTTGTATTTTCTACTTTTAATTTGAGTGTTTGAAAATTTAGTATTTGCACAGAATTGAACATTTGCACTTATTATTAATAAAGATGGAGCTAAAAATTAAGTATTGTTAGCATAATATGAAAAATATTTATTTTAGTGTTTAATAGAACATTGTTGGAAATCGACGAAAAAAAGGTAAGCGAAAAGAAACGTACTACCTCAGGACACTGAAGGCAATAGTGATGATTCTTTGGGTTTTAGGCCTATGGGAAAGCAACAGTGATGAGGCTTACAGGGAGTTTAGCAGTAGTAGTCGTTTTGATGAAACCTGGACTGGAACTTTGGGCCCCTAAAGTCTAGAGCAGAGTGTACATAATTAATGATCCTGAGGTAATAAAAGGGTGTGTTGTTGGTGCTCTTTATTTGATATTAAATATTACAGGTTGACTCCAACTCATTAGCCCATTAGTGGTTGGCCCATTAAAACATCCATTCTTCCTGTTTAATTATTTAAGCTGTTTTATAGTTATTATAAAGTAATGCAATACTTGAAACTCATGAATGTAGAGTGAAAGACCACACAACTATAATACCTTATAATTTATAAATAATCTAGCATTATGAATGATTGTAAATAAGAGTAAAGTAGCTCGGATCTGAATTGTATAGACAAATTTACCTAAGATGTTAGTAAACAAAGTACAGTATTTGATAAGTAATAGTTGTGTGTGTTTTTTGCTTATCCTTGACATTACAGTGCATTGGGCATTTTATTTTTGTTCAGTCTTTAAGTGTTTTCATGTGTATTATACAGTAAATGTACCTGTAAATTATACAGTAGAAATCTTATAATTTCAGTTATCCTCTGCCCCCTAAAACAAATTGCCTTTAAACTATTCTGCTAGCATGGTGGTAATTTTAAATGTAATTCTCCTTCAGTATCTATTTGAACTAACACTATTGGCTGTAATTGTTAGCTTTTGTGTTTGTCAACAGTGGTAAAGTAAATATACCGACACAAACATTCATTGTAGCTTTAACCGGCTTTACCACCAGGTGATTGTTAATAAAATTAAGTGTTTACGTTATTCTTGAAAAAGTGTTATTTATTTTCAGAATGTTTTCATATTTAATGATTGCCAATAATTGGTGAACAGTTGCTTCGATCTTCATAAGTAAAGATCCATACCAGTGATTGAAAGCTTAAGTGGAAGCATTGTTACAAAAATATATATTTTATATATGTTGGCATCTTCCCCATCCACAAAAGGTTATCTTAGGTTTAGAAATTTAAGATGACAGTAAATATTTGCATTTATGCCATACTGTAACACTGGGCCTCCCTGGTGGCTGTAGCATTATGCCCAAATCATTGGTTGCAGAAGTTTAGTATTATTGTTCTCTCTGGTACTCTTATTAATATAATACTTTTTCACAATGTAAAATACCAAATAGTTTCTTCTACATTCCCTCAAACAGTTTTGGCAACTGTCTCAGTTTTCTTCGTGAATTACTGTACTTTTAGTTAAAGGTCAAGGTTTTTTTAATAATGTATCCTGATTTAACTGCATTATTATAATGCTGTTGATATTCATGCTATAATTTATGGTAATGAAGTGTACATTAAGTAGCCTGCCATATTTTTTGTATTGTACATGTTTTGTATACAAACTAAAATATTGTATAGATATTTGAAAATATATTTGAAATTATTATATATTTCTTTAAGCTGTTTACCTTTGCAGTATCCTTCTAGCAACCTAAGTGAAAATTGTAGGAAAGGGAAGATTTACAATTGTCCAACTACTTTTGCCATATTTTGGGTAAGGAACAACTGACAAATGTGCAGTACTTCGTGATGTAGTGGCTGGCTCCCTGTACCCACTCGCCATGCAGGTGAGAATAACTCATTTTCAAGCCCCCGGCATGGTGGGATAATTCTGCACTGTTCCTTAATTATTTCTGTGCACCCAGTAATATTTGAAGTCCTGGTTGTAAAATGGTTGGTGGATCATGTTCTAGGTAAAAAATTATGCAGAACAATCTAACTGGTTCCCATATCTAGCTTATGATCTTAACCCCAGTAGTTGGGTGCAACTGAGGACAGGCATATTACATGATCATATTGCCTGAACATATTGCCTGAACATATTGCCTGAAGATGTTTTGTTGGAGTGATGAGAAACAATATAATAATGATATTGACAACTGTTCATCATTTGGGATCCCTAATAATTTTCAGTGTTTATGAATCTTGACAAGTCGAGATGCAGAAGGGTTTTGACCATAATACACAACTTTTGTCTGTGGGTCATGAGGATACTGAAAACTGGTAACAATTAATGATTAAAATGTATACTGAAACAAAATGTCACCACTTTTTAGTTTCTAAAGTATGGGAATTATTATTACTATTTTAAATTGAAGATGCAGAAATTTCTAATTGAAAGTGACCTTGGTAAAATGATACAATATTGGTCATTGGGGGAAAAAAATGCCCTACAAATATTTAATTGGCATCATATTTAGAGCAGTATTTCTTAGTTTTACCAACTGTGGTACTCTCACTGCTGAGCTCTGTTACCCTGCTTTCTCTTAAAAGTATTGCACTGGTGAATTTGTTAGAATTTCTAGCAGTTTCTATGTTATACACTTTGTTAGAGTGCATTCCAAGCCCTAGAATTATTTAACTTAAACATTTTTCTTGTTTAAGATATAAGATATTTTTTAACTTAGGTGTATCTGTTAAATATACTTCTGTTAGTGTTTTGTAGTTACATGATGAGACCTACATTCGTTGTGTTCCATCTTTCCTATAATCTTTGTCATATGATCTTTTGAAATTGCTAATGGTTTTGGCATCCACCATTTTCTCACCTACATTGTTCCAACCATCTCCAACTCTCTTCACATAAGATAACTTTCATATTTTTCGGCACCTTTGTTTCCTTAACTTGAATCTGTAGTCTCTTATTCTTGAGGTTGTTAGTTTAAAAAATCCCTCATTATCCACTGTGTTCATTCCTTTCATTATTTTGCATGTGGTGTGTATGTGTGTGTATAAAAGTAATATGTAATGGATATGATAGAGAAAATAGGTCAGGAGTCAGTATAATAGGCAATTAACAGTTGGATGGTGGAGTCCAATAGCTGACAGTTGAATCCTGCAGCACAATAGTTGAATACATATGGACAAAATAGCCCCCACACGCTCTTGCTCTCTCTCTTTCTCCCCCCCCTCTCCTCCTCCTCTCTCTTCCTCCCTCGCTCCCTCTCATTCTCTTTCTCTCTTACTCTCTCCCTCTCTTAGTCTATGTTACACTCACCAATAACTCCTTCCACCCATGATCTTAACATGATCCCATCCTCTCTCTCCCTTAACAAACACACTACTTGCTTTCCATCAACATACTCTTCAACACTACCACACTTCCCAGTAACCGGTGGCCCATTCTTAAGCAACCCCAACATTACCACACTTCCCAGTAACCGGTGGCCCATTCTTAAGCAACCCCAACATTACTACAGTTCCTAGTAACCGGTGGCCCATTCTTGAGCAACCCATTCTCTTGAGTGTTCCCAATATCACTGAACTGATGTACAGTACTAAATTGCCCAAACTTAACCGAGGACCCACAAATAGAAAACGCAACACAGAGGACCCACAAATAGAAAACGCAACACCAAGGACCCACAAATAGAAATCACGACACTAAGGACCCACATACAGAAGACGCGACACAGAGGACCCACAAATAGAAAACGTGACACTGAGGACCCACATACAGAAAACGCGACACTGAGGACCCACATACAGAAAATGCGACACTGAGGACCCACAAATAGAAAATGCAACACTGAGGACCCACATACAGAAAACACGACATCACATAAGTTTTGTGAGTTGCTATGATTTTTTTTGGACGTCAGTTGTTGGCCTTAAGGGATTTATACCTGAAAAGGCAATGTACTATTTAAGAAGATGGGTTGCTCAAGACTCCAAGCCACTATTACCCACCTCTCCTCCGTCGCCAACTGAAAATGCATGCAGGCTTTGCAATGTTGTAACTTGCACAGCTATTATGATTCTTCTCTAACCATGCCCATGATCACAGATAAATATGTATATAAGCATTGTGACTTGCAATGATAAGTTTGACTTGTAAAGCACTTCAATCGCCTCCTGGTGTTGAATACATACAGTAATAATTTTTCCGGGAACAAACGATAATGTCATGTTAGTGCGGTAGTAAATTGTTATTAATAAATGGTGTAAGAAATGTGCAACTTGGAACAAAAGTTTGTCAAAATTTTCAGTACATACTTTTTTAATCTGAACAATTTACAAGGTGTACATTTTTAGGGGTTAAAAAATCCTCCCCAGCATTCCCCCCCTCCCCTGTCCCCTTGTCCTCCCAATCATTCCCCACTTCCCCCATCCTCCCCACCATTCCTCCTTCCCTGTCCCCTCATCCTCCCCACCATTCCCTCATCCCCCCCATACCATTCTCCCCTCCCCAGTCCCCCTCGTCCTCCCCACAATTTCCCTTACTCCCCTGTCCCCCTCGTCCTCCCCACCATTTTCCCCCCTCCCCTGTCCCCCTCGTCCTCCCCACCATTTCCCCCCCTCCCCTGTCCCCCCCACCATTCCCTCGTTCTCTCCACCCTCGTCCTCCCCACCATCCCCTCGTCCTCCCCACCATCCCCTCGTTCTCCCCACCATTCCCTCGTCCTCCCCACCATCCCCTCGTTCTCCCCACCATTCCCTCATCCTCTACACCATCCTCCACACCCCTGTCCCCGTGTCCTCCCCACCATCCTTCACTCCCCCGTCTTTTGTCCTCCCCACCATTCCCCACTCCCCTGTCCCCTTGTCCTCCCCACCATTCCCCCCCTCCCCTTGTCTTCCCCACCATTCCCTCACATGAAAAACAGATTAAAAAAAATAAGCATGTTTTTACCTGTCACAGGTGTGACATCTATATAGTAGGTACAGTATATAAAAACACGCACGTATTCGAATGGAACGTTGTGTCAGAATTTCAAAGCAATTGGTGAAGAACGTTCTGAGATTTAAGATCATGAAGAACATTAACATTAACATTTTTATTTATATAGATTTTACAAGAAATAATTAACGGGTCGTAGCCATTGCATTAGATGAGATGACCGTGAAGAGTGAGGCCCATGAGCTGAAGCTTAGTTCACAAATGTTGAGTAACAACATCTTTCGTTGTTAGGTGCTTATCTCAACAACTATATACAGTTTAATATTAGCACCAATTATGTACTGAGGTGTGTCTGGCATGTGTCGTATAAAATTTGTATTTATCGTTCACTATTGATGCCAATGCGCGCCAGAATTATTTATGTAATGACAATGGGGAACAATTAAATATATAATTCGTAGTTTTGATAAGTGCTTTTTATGCGGACCATATTATGATGGAGAGGGTCAAACAAAAAGTTTGTATAGGCTGAGAACAGTCGCATTACAAAATGTCACATGAAATGAGGTAAAAATATTGTATTTTTATTGTTTAGAGTTCGGCTCAAGCAAATTTCGATCTTTCATCTTGTAAGGCATCTGTGGGCTCCTTAAGATCTTGATGCACGCTCTGGAGCTGTACAAAACTGAGGTCAATCCATGAGAAGCATTAGTGATGTGAGAACCCAGGAACCGCCTAAAGCAGACTGAAAATATATGCATCAGTAAGTATGTTAGGAAATGCAGGTCTGCGTGTTGGGCGTGTGACAAGGTTAAATCTTCTCCTTAACGTCGATTGCTCCTTGGCGACACTTTGCCAGTTGCAGGGACGAGAGGCAGTTGGTGTCTGTGACACCAGTTTCCTGCTCCAACAAATATCACAAGACCATAAGATACGAGAAAACTTTAGAATTGGCCCCCATATAAGAAATATTCTATATGTATATCCAAAAGTACTCATTCATGCTATAACCTGCAAGAGCTATAAATGAACTGGGTAAATATACAGGTTCACAATACAAATGTTAATAGTTTTAACATTTCTTAAGGGATATTTTAGCACGGAATCTAACACGTTTCATTTTGACAGCGTGTTTATTGTCTAACCGCCATTTTCAATCCAGTATTGTGTGGTGCGACAGTTTAACCGCAGCGTTCCAAATGTTGCGGTGGATGGCGGTGGTGGTGCTGGGGTGTGCACGCTTCACGACGGGCACCGTGGGTTCAAACAGCAATTACCTGGAGACCTTCCAGAGCGGTGATGACCTGCAGACCTTCCAAGGCGACGTGTACCTGGAGACCTTCCAGAGTGGCACGTGGGTGGTCGCGGAAGACACGTCCCTCAACCTAACACTATCTCTCGGGTTTAACGGCAGCACCGCCGTTTGTAATGTTAGACGGAACCTGAGGCAGGCGCAGCTGGTGGTGACGGTGGTGCTCGAGGAGGACTGGAAGCTAGACTTCGTGAACATGAGTGCTCACTTCACGGCGGAGGAGGTGTGCGCCCAGGTTAACAAAAGCCTGACATTCTCTGGCTACTACTGGGGGGTCACCAAGCTGGCCTTCTTCCTCACTCGGAATGACGTCAACCCTTACTTCAGTAATGCCACCTTGCTATCGGACGATTTAACGGTAAGTAATTTGTTATATGTGAGAGTAAATATATAGTTAAATGAATAAAAGGTCGTATCACAGATGAAATTGATTAATTATGCTCTTATCTTAACATTACGAAAATCGACGCGCTGATGTAAATAACTGGTTTGCTTAAGGTTCTTAGTTGAAAACCATCTTACCTTACCTTGAGGTAAGGTAAGATCAAAACAAACGTTAAATTTATCTGAATTTACCCAAGGGCCGCTATCTCTAGTGGCCTCGACGGGAACAGCCGGCTCGGCTTGTCAACAGTTGCCCCATTATTCTTGAATAACGTTTCTTCAACATACCTTCATCATATCTTCATCATGTGATTGTAACAATTCCGTATTTTGTTTTAACTCCAAAAAGCCACTTGGGACATACGTTCTGTCTAAACGTCAGTACTGAAACTAATTCAAAACCAAATAAAACGACAAACTTTAAGAAATACTTGTCATGGTCCAGTGAATGACTAGATTTAACCTATACACTTTTTATCGTATATCGTATTGTATAGGCGTGTGTAGGATAATAAATCAATGCAGATTTCAAGCAAAATTTCGTTTATTCAATTTGTTCTGAAGTTATTTTGGAGAATAACATTTGAACGACCTATTCTATTAAATAATAGTCCACGATTTGCATTTAAAATTATTTAAAATCTAACATATCCTAGGCCTAACATTATTATACTCGCTGTGCTAGTTATTCCTACTTATAGGATACTTATGAGTAGGCCTAGATGGAACATGTCCTCTTTTTTTTCCAATTTCCAGTAAATCAAAATGTGAACTATTATCAGTGTGTAACAGCACAAGTTCTCAAACTCGGGCTATAGGTTATATTAAAAATTTTGACGAGAGAATGGTATTTTCAGGCAGTCACAAACATGCTGTACACAACGACTGTGACAACTCTTACAGCTTGATTGATTGTTGCCACTGGAGGCGGCTAGTTTATTGTGCACCCTATAATGACTATCCTGATTACCCTATAAAGATGAGTATCCTATTAAAAAAAATTGAGGGCACAAAAGGTCTTTTATCAGACCTCAACGGAGATTTATGACATTAACAATTACATCTATGCTGCACACCTTATATTTATAATGTCAGCTAATTAGAGATTGTTCCATTTCAGTAGCTATGTATTTAGTTAATCAATATACATTAATGGTCTGTCTTTTCGCTAACACAGCGGTAATTGTTTGAGCTATGGAGATATAATATGGTCATAGGGAAGCTGCTGTTTATTATTATTATTATTATTCACAATACACTATTTGCTAACATAATCGTATGTTGACTAATCCATGAGTAATCGATGTTAACAGCGATTGCTAACATCATAACTTGCATATCGATTTACAGTGATATGCAAGTTATGAGGTGAAGTCACTCTTGAAACGTAATTAAAATTAGCAACAGATGTCGGTACAGTATACATTAATATTTTTTTTGGGTAAACTAACATAATGGTGTTGAGTATATTTTTTTAAGAAAGTATACTGTGTCTGCCCTGTGATCTGACAGAACGAGATAAAGATTTTAAATTTACTTTCACTGGTAATTTCATCAAGATGAGGATTTTTACCAGAACTTGAATGGCAACAATTGTGTTGTGAAGATAGCAGCAGGCCGGAATAAAAATTTAATAAAAAACTGAACGCGTCTTCCATTAATCTTGCGTGTTAAGACGTAAACTTGCTGGAGTGTGTACAAGTTCAAGTAAACTTATTGAGATAATAACATACAAAAGGATAGAGTAGCTTATTGTATTTCTACTCTCCCTGGTGTGTGTACTGTTGTTCACCCGTGCATGATCGGGCACCCCTGTTATTGTAGCTGGGTAGGGAAGGTGGGGCATGAAGCCGGTAGAAGGAAACGTGTTGTCATATCACATCCGGAATACGTTAAATCGAGGCAGTGTTATATGCTTGGTCAGGCATTCATTTACATAAATGTCAATACTCTGTCACTGCAAACTTGATGAGATCTGTTATAAAACCTTTTTATCACTTAAAATGAGGAACTCTAGGTATATATCTAACCGGTGATGGCAGTTAGATAATTGAGATTATTTTATTATGATTATTAGTTGGAACAGTTCCGAAAATAGGATAGATACATGCGTTTTTTTTCTCTTTAAGAGGCCACCTTCAAGAATTTGCAACGAAGGCTGGAATAAGGCTAATGCAGAGTGACATTAAATAATAACCATGTTATATAGCACAAATAAAGCAGGTTTAAATACTTGTCATAGAGTTCAGGATACTTTGATATTCACTATTCTTTCTGCCCTGCCCTTGCCCCGTCTTGCTGAAGATCACAGTCGACCGTATGACCAAGAACTTCGACACCGCCTTCACCTACATCTTGTCGGTGCTCGTGGTCTTCAACAACATATTCTTGGGTACTCAGCTGGACCTGGAAATCATCATGAGCGTCCTTAAGCGACCCATCGGGCCTGTGTGTGGCTTCGTCTCTCAGTTCACTTGTATGCCCGTGGTGAGTGTTCCATGGTGCAAATTTAGTCTAACTTGGGAGTTCTCTGGATGGTAATGATAGTGTATGTAACTGGTAAAGGGCATTCAATGACGCGAAGGAAACATTTTGGAGCAATGAGGTAGAATTTATCGTGTGTGTGATGACAACAGACGTCTGTACTTTAATTCTACCGCATTGCTCCAAAATGTTCTCATAATATATGATTTATGAGAAAAATCATGTTTTCAAAATAAAGAAATATATGATTTTGATTGATTTATTGCAAATAAATAAAATATTCAATTTGATTCATTTGAGAATCATATTTTCAATAAAATTTTAAATTTTATCACCTCGCAACTGACCTTACTAGAGAAACAATTTTCACTACTGACCTTCCCGGCGATGCAACCACAGAACTAACTTCTGGGTTACTGTTTACTGATAGGTGAACTGTGGCACTAGGTGAAAGAAAAGCGTACCCAACCGATTGTGTTCCTCCAGGAAATCGAACCCAGGCTCCCCAATTGAGAGTCGAAAATGACACCAACTCTATTACGAGACCCTTAGTGTGGATTAGTTACAATTGTGTTGTCAGATCGTTCAGCCTGGGGGCAGTCTGTTCAAAGAGGTCTCTCCAAGTTAGAGGAGTCACTTGCCAGGAAATAGGAGGCAAAGAGACAGAGAAGAAAAGCCGGTAGCCAGGAAGACAGACCAGAATCGGACTTCGTTTGTGCTCAGTGTGGGATGGACTGCCATTCTCGGATCGGCTTCACCAGTCACACCAGACGCTGCACCAGGATTGACAACTAGGGCGCAACTCCATAGTCTCCCGAGACTGAAGGATGCCTACTATTACTGTTGATGTCAGAGAATACTGATCATAGTGAATGTGGTCGTAATTAATAGCGGTGGATAGAAAATTAAACTGTGTAAGTTAGTTTATTTCATTTATTATGCACCCCATACCAATCTTGTGGGTGGCAGAGGAAAGGGTTACAGGTGCACATAATGGGCTCAGGGACTGAACCCCACAATTTATTTAGCTAAGCAAGTTACAATCTTGAGCTAGTTACAAAATTCAATACGCATCGTCACATCATTAATGGGTTCCAGATCTTGTGTTCTTGAGTCATACCCAACGACATACAATTACCAATTGTTTTATATTAACAAATATCAAACTACAGCATTTTCGTAAATTTTAGTGGTAAGACCGCCAAATGAGCTTCTTTTCCCGAACTTAGCCGAGGGCCACCATCTCTAGTAGCCTAAAAGGACAGGAAACAGGCGGCTTGTCAAAAGTCCCCCATTATTTGCTTCTGATTATGTTGGAATGTACTAGCTATACATTACTATAGAATTATTGACATTTGTTGCAAACTACATTTGTATTCATCAGTTCAGGATTTAAGCTAAAATAAAGATATTTGTGTGTGAATATGATTGTGTTTTTACAGGTGACATATGGGTTGGTGTTAGTGTTGTTCACAGACCCGGTGCAGCGTCTGGGGCTCTTCTTGCTGGGATGTTCTCCTGGCGGCATCTTCTCCAACCTCTGGGCTCTCATATTTGATGCAGACATCAACCTCTCCGTCACCATGACCACCATATCCATTATTGCTGCAATGGGTCAGTATATAGCTTGGCTTGCACTAACAACAGAACCAGAGTACCATGCACCATTCCCTCCCTGATTTCTGGCCCAACCACTTGGGCTGGACGGTAGAGCGATGGTCTCGCATCATGCAGGTCGGCGTTCAGCCCCCCGCCTGTCCAAGTGGTCGAGCACCATTCCTTCCCCCCCCCCCCCCCACTCCCAACCCCCGGCCCATCTCAAATCATTATCCTGACCCTTTCCAAGTGCTATAGTCTTAATGACTTGGTGCTTTCTCCTGATAGTTCCCTTCCATTCCCTGATTTCTGAATTAAATATTAAGTTTCGCCAGAGCGTTGTATATAGTTACTGACATAGCTGTTGTGTGTGGCAGGGATGATGCCGCTGTGGATGACCACGCTGGGCACGCGTTTGATCGACGACAACACCCATCTTTATATTCCCTTCAAAACACTGGCGGTGTCCCTCGTCAGCCTCACCGGCCCCATTGTCATCGGCATGTTGATCAGGTAGGCCTTCTCTATGCACCACGGCTCTTGCTCACTTCATTCATGTTCTCTAGAGCGTGACAAAAACGAAGCATGCAGTGAAAAAGAATAAAAAAAAGGCTGACCAGTTTATTGCTGATAACGACTGAGATGCTGTACGAGAATCTCAGTAGATAATTTGTTGATGTAATACAAGTGCTTAATCTGGACTACTGATTGTATCTTGTTTATTTAATAATTAATAAAGCCTAACCTACTAGAATTTATTCTCGTAAATCAAATCATTTGTGACAAACAATATTTTGTTTAAACAGTTATTATACAGTAAAGGATAACATTTTGAAGCAGCTGATGATGATGATAGTACTTTTTTTTTAAATTGTGTTCAGTTTTAATTCGTAGATTTAATTCATTTATTTTAGGTGGAAGAAAGAGAGTTGGGTGAAGATATGCGATGTGATCATCAAACCCTTCTCTGCGATAGTTATCATGCTCTTCATCGCTGTAAGTCATGCAGGCTTTCATGATGTGTATTTGTTATATAACATGTGTGTTTAATACATGATGCATATATACTTAAATGTGTGTGTTTTGGTATAATGGTTTCTAGTCGCCGTGGTGGGATAGGAAGCCGGTGATCGTGCCATGATGCCTGTATGTTGTGTATACCTTTGTATGGTGCAGGTGGGAACATACAACTCGTACAAGGGGATCTTGCTGATGACGTGGCAGACTATAGTGGCTGGCATGCTGATGCTGTCCTGCGGCTACACCTTCGGCGCCACCCTCGCCAGGATCATGTGCCTGGGCAAGAAGCAAATAGTGGCAGTGAGCCTGGAAACAGCCATCCAGAACACCCCGGTGACTTTAATCATCCTCAAGCTCTCCCTCCCGAGCCCTTACAGGTAACCCTACACATACACTTTACTCCATAAATGTGAACAAAAATCTTTTCCAGTAATGCCAGTCCATTAAAACAATGCGTGAATCTGGGGTATTTCAGGACGAGAGTTCGAGTCCAGTGTATTTATCCAGAAACTAGTTATCATAGATATGTTTTGTTAACTAAAATTACGTTCCAGTGTGATGCCAGGATGCAACTCACAGTAGTTTACTAACTCCCTGGTACTTATTAACTGCTATAATTCGTTTTGTCAGGAAGCTTGTGTATATATTTACTTAGGCTTGTATCGAGGTCCCTCAAGGTCGAACTACTGACCCTCCCCAGGATGTGACCACACATCACTTGCTGAACCCTCGGGTACCTATTTGCTGCTATGTCAACAGTGACATTAAGTAAAAGGAAACGTGCCCAACCATTTCTGTCCCGCCCGGGAATCGAACCCCTGATCCCCGATTGTGAGTCGCGAATGAAGTCGACAGTATTACGAGAGCCTTATATATTAAACTAATGGCCGATTTAATTATTTTTCCTTTGTCTCTTAGGACCGATGTGGGTCTTCCCAATATTATTTGGTGACAAAATCCATCATCTTTGTTGCTTTACTTCCCCCCCCCCCTCCCTCCCCCTAACCGATAGGGTTGGACGGTAGAGCGACGGTCTCGCTTCATGCAGGTCGGCGTTCAATCTCCGACCGTCCAAGTGGTTGGGCACCATTCCATTCCTCCGTCCTATCCCAAATCCTTATCCTGACCCCTTCAAGTTCAAGTTCAAGTATGTTTATTGAGATAAGCAATAAATACATCTCAAAGGGATAGAGTAGCTTAGGCTATTTCTACCCCCCTCTACTTCAAGTCCCTCAAGGGGCGCACAAATTCAGTGAGTACAAATAGACATATAGCAGTACAAAAATCCCATTTAACATTGCATACAGCAAGTACAGCATATAATTGTTACATTCTTGGGGCAAAATTCTTGTAGCTCCTAAGTATACTGTCTATTATACCATTATCACACATCCAAACAATTTGATGTGGTACACTATTTATTTCCTTATTTCTATATTTTTCAATAAGGTGACACTCTAATACATAATGTTCTAAGGTGTGGGCGGACGGCATACTACATAATTTACACTCCTTATCTTTTTCACTGACATCAACACCGTATTGCCAGATATATTTATATCCTAATCGTAATCTCATGTAAATTGAATCCTTCCAAGTAGACTTTCCTTTACCATAAGTGAAGGACGAATTTGTATTTATTATTGAATAATTCTTAAGTGTGTTACTACTGTCCACCATTGCCATTCTCTTTATCATTTCTTCACCCTCCTGAATCACCTTGAGTCTTGTTTTTATTTGTTTCAAGGTTAACTGACATACAACATCAACAAGAGTTTTTTCAGTGGCTCTCTTCGCTATGTCATCAACTACCTCATTCAACAGTATTCCCACATGTGAAGGGATCCACATGAATCTTACTTTATACCCAGTTTTTTCTAGTCTCTTAACATTCTCTCTACACTCTATCACAATATTCTGATATACTGGGCGTCTGCTATTTAAAGACTCTAACGCTCCTCTGCTGTCAATAAAGAAGCAAGCATTTTTTCCACATTTGACTACTTCCTGTAATCCTGTTAATACTCCTTGGAGTTCAGCCTGCGTTGAAGAGACATTGTCAGTTAAGCGGCGTCCAATAACAGTATCTACAGTGCCGATGTCAGTGTACTCCCTGATCAAGACTCCACATCCTGCCTTCCCATCCCTAGCTACTGACCCATCACAATATACATGTAGAGTGTTTTCCGTAGGCAGTTTTCTAATTATACAATCATATGTTGCCCTCAGCTCTCCTATTTCATACATACTTTTTTTCTTATGCAAGGGAGTAATTACTACATCTACATTACAATCCTCCCATGGTGGTGTAAATTTTCTCTTGGGCACAGCAATACACTCTGTAATAACATCATACTTTATAACATTATAACATAATTTATTCATATATACTCTCTTCTTCATCATACACTGTTCACTACTTCCCGCCTTTTGAACCGAGAGGATTAATTCATTAGCTCCCCCACCTCTCATTAATCTAATGGCAGAGGCTACATTTATCTCTGAAATTCTATCCCCAATACTCTGCAGATTCAACTCCATCCTCATTATCTCAATCATAGCATTTCTTGGGCATCCTAAGATAATTCTCATTGCTTCATTTTGTACCTTCTCCAACTTGCCCATCCTACCTTTACCAAAACAAGAAATGACAGGTGCAGCATAATCAATAAGAGATCTTACAGTACTCAAGTATAACATTCGTAGCACAGGGACTCCCACTCCCTTTCCACAGCATGCCAAGGCCTTCAGAGGTTGTAATCTCTTCCGACATTGACCCAACAGTCTGTTCATCTCAGCTTCCAAACTCTCATGGGTATATCCAACATATATGCCTAAATATTTATATATATTAACTCTCTCTATATTTTTATCGTTTATTTTCAAAACAATGGGGCTCCGACTTCTACATTCAAACTTAGTTTTGTGTTCATTAACCACCAGTCCCATATGGTGACACAGGTTTCCGAAATTGTCCAACACTGTTTGAACCTTTGAAATATCTTTGCCCTGAAATAAAATATCATCGGCATATATGATCGGAGTTACCCCATTTGAGTATCTCTCAGATGCTATCTTATTCATTAGTACATTAAACAGGGTGGGACTCAAAACTCCTCCCTGAGGTGTGCCGAGTTCAAAAGACCTCACACCTGACATACAACCTTGATACCACACCTGAGCCTTCCTTTCGTAAAGATAATCCCCTATCCAGCGCAATAATTTCCCTTTAACACCAAGACTAGCTAATTCATATAAAATAACCTCTTTGTTGGCTTTATCAAAAGCTCCTTGTAAATCAATGAAAATTCTATAATAATCATATTCATTAGCTAGACATTTAATAATACAATCAGAGGTACTTTTTCCTTTGAGGAACCCGAACAAATTACTAGACAGCTGATCACCTATTATATATAAAAGTCTATTTAAAATGATCCTCTCCATCATTTTACAAAAACACGAGGTTAAAGACACAGGTCTATACTCTCCATTGGCTTTAGGGATAGGGATGATCATAGCTTTTTTCCATTTACTGGGAATACTGCCCTCTTTATAACTAATATTAAAGAGGTCTAAAAGTGGGCTTTTCGTCATAGTGGCAAGTTCATTAAGTATTTCATAAGTTACTCCATCCTCCCCAGGTGCGGTAGATTTCCCAACTTTAATCGCCGTTATTAGTTCTTCTCTGGTAATACCTGTGCAAGTGACATCACCACTGTTACCTGCTATAAGTATAAAATCCTTTCTTAGATCTTTCCAAGAATCTAATGACTCTCTCGTTACAGCGGGTAATGAACTAAGTTTGGCAGCTTCCGCCCATTTATTTACGAGCTCATTTGCAATTCCTTGCGGGTCTGGATGTGCAACAAAATTGTGCTTTTTACCCCTTATTTTATTTACGTCTTGCCAGATTTCCTTCAAGTTTCTGTTACTCCCAACTTTCTCTGCAAATTCCTGCCAATACTTGCTCCTAATTTCCTTTCTCTTCTCCCCACACAGCCTAGCAACTGCCAGTAAAGCATTCTTCCCTTCCTCAGTCCTACCATTCCTATTCCAATCCCTGTGAGCTCTCCTCATTGTTAATGTCCACCCCTTAAGCATCTTATCATGTGTATAATTTTCTTTTCTGGGGGGATGCCTTTTTATACTAGATGGTTTCCGGTTCAATGTTGCATTAAATACATCTACCTCCTTAATTAAATCTTCATAAAATGCTTCTGCCGAAACCGGCTTATAAGTATCATACCAAGACTTAATATGGCCGACAAGACCCCTTAATTCTCCCTCATTAAACTTTAACCTTTTCCTCTGAAGGCAGGCATGCTTTTTATCTAGTTTAAGCTGTATTTGTAATGCAAAATGATCACTTAGCATTTCATCCACAGTAAGACAATTCCCCTCTATGCCCTCAGCATTTATTAAACAAGCATAATCTAATCTCCCTCCCCTCAAATGAGTAGGAGAGGGCTCGCCCAGCAGTTGAACATCTTCATGTTCCTGCAAAAACTGGTACCATCTGCAACCATTCCTATTTGCTTTACCCCTTGATCCTAAAGCTGGATGTCTGGCATTAAAATCCCCTACCACAAGTGTATCTTCAGAAAAGAAGGAATCTGGCAAGTATCGTAAATCAAGGGAGCTATCAGAGATGTATAGATTAATGAAATTTAACTCTCGGTCCTTTAATTGTATCCGCAAGCTAATACTTTCAATACCTCTATATCTCTGAGGGATTCCAGTTATCTCGGCAGGTATGGTACTTTTGACATAACATGAGACCCCCCTAGTTCCTCCATCAGCATATAAGTGAAAGCCTCTATAGCCATTTAGCCTCAGTATGCTACCATCCCTATCCCCAGTTTCCTGGAGTGCTACTATGTCAATATCCTCTCTAAGAGTATAATAGTGTACATCCACTGCTCTAGTTTTTAATCCATTAATGTTCCAAGATAATATTCTCAATTTACTTTCATCCATGATTAATAATAAAACTACCTTTGCCCTGTCCGTCACATTCCATGAGATACAAGAGTACCTTAGAAACTTCCTTCCAACACCGTAACATTTTTTCTTTCTCCTCACCTTCACAACTACTACTAACATCGAAGGTAATATTTTTCATATCTATTTTCTTTGTTATTTCTGTAACCCGTTTTACTTTAACCGTTCTTTCACCATTTGTCACAACAGGAGGTTGAACACCGCTAACACTACTAGAAAGTGTATTATCCTGACTATCCTCTATCATCGTTACCTCATGCACATCATTACTTTCTTCTACGCACGTTTCACTTTCCATTTCACGTCTCGTTTTACTTTCAATTACACGTCCTGTTTCACCACCATCTTTACCCCGTCCACCTTCCATAGCCAATTTTTCCAATGCCTCAATCCTCTTATCTAGTTTTTTTAGATACTCCAAAATTTGATTACCAACCTCAGAGGTGACCATATTGTCCTGAACCTTGTCGTCACAAGGTTTCAGTTTTTCCACTGCATGATGTACTTTCCCTAAGCTCGCCTTTACTTTCTCCGTCCCTTTTTCCCACACATTGATCATAGGGGCTGCCGTTGGCTTCCAACTGTTTCCTCCATGTTCCTCTTGCACAATTTTTCCTTGCTGCGAGGATACATCTATCCTGCTTGTAGGACCCGTTCTAGTCTCTTTCAGATGAGGCTTCATGGGGCATAGAGAGGAACCAGCATTGTGGCTGCCTCGACAGTTGCAACAAAATGGGATAATCTTTTCACTTCTTTCAATCTTGACTCTACACTCTCGCGAGTCGTGATTTTTCCCACAATACCGACACCTGGGGTCAAACTGGCATTTCCATGCCATATGTCCCCAACGTGAACACTTCATGCACAGTATAGGCTCCTCAACGTATTTTGCAACGTTCCTATAGCCTAGTCCTTGCACAAAAATTTTCTCCGGCGCCTCACCCTTTACCAAGGCAACAACCTGGCTTCGTTTGTCACCACGAACACTGTTCCTCTTGGCCCAGACAACATTATCATTGTTAAGAAGAAGACAGTCAGGATCCAAATAAGTTGGAAACTTGAAAACTATGATCTTTGTGTGCAACATACCTTCTTCTGGAGGAACCATCACTACATTCTCAAATCCAACCGTCGTGAGGCGTTCCACGGCCTGTTCAGTCCCAACTGTTATGTAGGGCCGGTGAAGACCCTCCTTGAAAAGTGGTTCGTATTCCAAACATTGTTTAGCCAAACGTACCGTCCACTCTAGCTTTTGGTGGAAATTCAATTGGCATGTTGTAGGGAACAACAGCCTCTTCCTTCTTGTCTTGTCTTGAGTCTTGCCGAGTAGGGTCTCATTCTTTGGTCTCTTTGCAATCTCATCGTCACTCTCACTGTCTCGCTGTCTGTTATTATTTCTCCGTTTCTTTTTGTTCACTACTAATTCAAACGGTCGATTATCATCTTGTCTGTCCTCCTCACTGCCACTTGGGCATACCGCCTCAGCCATTTCTTCGACGTTGTCAATAATCGAGAACAAATGCACAATATCCTGTATCACCACGTGCAAAAAACGAAGAGTGTCCTGACCCCTTCCAAGTTCTGCATAGCCGTAATGGCTTGGCGCTTTATTTATTTATTTATTTATATACAGGAAGGTACATTGGGTTTGTGAGAATACATAGCATAGTATTTACTATCTTGTAAAGCCACTAGTACGCGCAGCGTTACGGGCAGGTCCTTAATCTAACAGATAATTTTAAGTAGGTAAATTCTATCAGAATTAATAAATAACAAATACATTGCAAGAAAAAAATTAGACGAGAGATTAGTAAGTATATTAAAGCACATTGGTATATTAAAGCTCTGATTGATTACATTGACAGCTTGATTGGTATTTTAAACAAGATTAATAGACACCATGGGGTAATGTGCCTGTGTGCTTTCCCTTGATAGTTCCCTCATTCCCCCCCCCCCCCCCACCATTTTTTAGTTAATTTATCTTACGAAGTCTGTAATTTTTATTCTGCTCTCATCTGTTGCTTGCGTTATTCTCCCTTCTTACATTTTTGATCTTCATCTAATGGATTTCATTATCACTAGGTTTAGCTAGAGTACAGCGGTCGCTTGTCCCCAGAGAGCTAATATATTTTATCCTCACATTGTCGCTGCTGGGTGGATACCAAGTCAAGCCTTTCTGGGATCTCATAGTCCCCAGCCTTGTCATCCCTGATTGTCAGAAAGTCTCTATTATTTAAACGAGGTTAAATCTCCAAGTAGACGACCACTACCATTAGTGGTCATCCCCCCAGAGTGCATGGGGGGGGGATTGTGTGAACCTTTGGTTCGGCTTCAGTTGAAGCCTCAGGAATCCTAGAGGGTGCAGAAGTACCCCAGATTGAGATCTTTTTGATCATGTCGTGGCATAGTTTTCTAGGGCGTGTGCCTGGGAACATCCAGCGCATAGGTTCGAACCCTCATCACGGATTTTCCCATTTTTTATTATTATTATTGTTGTTGTTGTGCTTAATAATAATAATAATAATAATAAGTACATACATAATAAAATACATGAACAGCAGGGGATGTGTAGGAAAGACAGGTTCAGTGCCTAAAGCCATTAATATACAGAGTTTCGGGCATAACGTAGAAAAAATTAGAACAATATACAAGTTTTATGGGGTAATTCATAAAACTAAATGAGATCGGATAACATTTAGGAATTGAAGAAGGTAATTAGAAAATAATTGACCATTTTTGCGTGGTGTCTGAAAACTGTAAATTTTTCAACATTTATAACCATAAATTGTACAACATTACAACAATAGTAATTATAAATTGTAAAAAAGACACTAAACAGATGATATAAAAATTTTAAATTTGACGCGGCAGTTATCAGTAGCAGTGCAGGCTTAGTAATTAATGTCCTCAATAACAGTTAAATTAATGTTAACATGTAGGATGAGAAGAGGTGAGTAAGGTTGTTTATTTACAGTTCATTAGGCAGTTCTTAGTTCCTCTCTCAAATTCGTTAAGGAAAGAATAGTATTTAATGTAATTAGAGAGGACATTTCATACTTTGGGACCCTTTATTTGCAGACCATTGCCTAGGTTAAGTTGCACTCTTGAAATATAAAAAAGATATTTGTTTCTCATGTGCTGCCCGTTGATTCTAGTAATGTCTTCTAGGAAGCACTTAAGGTCAGGACTAGCATTGAAGTTCAAAGTTTTCTATACATAGTGATATACAAGAGAGGTTGTGCAGTGACATTAATGTTTAACGTATTTAAATATTTTAGCAAGGAAGACTGGTGTTGTCTGGGACCTGGAGTTTGTTACACTGTTACTGATATTATCTCATAAGATCTCAAAGACTTGTGTGACTTTATTTCTTTAAATTTATTTTAAAATTCAGTTTTTCCAACTTGTAGATTATTTTTCAACGTGTAGAGTGCTGTAATTCGTTTTTTACTACTTCTATAAATATTTATTACTCTACCTAGAGTGCTACGTTGTACCCAAGTGGAGACTTGTATTCAATCAATTTTGTCTGTTTACAGTGACCTCGCCTCTGTTCCGGTAATAGCTACATTCACCCTGACTGGGTTTCCTCTGTTTTGTGCTTATCTCATCTACTGCTCCTTGCGACGCTTCTGTGGGTGTTGTCCTGATGAAGACCAGCCAGAGAACCTGCAGCAGTCAGCACAAGAGGATATTGAGAACTCTCGTGGAGAAATCTCCAAATTTCTACCTGGTGTAGAGAAGATCAATGGAGAGCAATGATATTATGAAATTAAGTATTGCTTGAGACCATTTGATTTTTGTTGGGCAAAACTGTTGCTGACCAGTGAGACTGAAATCTCCTTGAAGTGTTTTCACACGTGCACTTTTTACATATATTAGTGTTATTAATTACATTAATTTAGTTGGGAATCAAATACATGTGTGTCTGCATGTAACTGTTTCTTCTACCACAATCGCACCCACAGCTAGGACAGGTGAGGTGCATTTTCACTACCTCCCACAGGATGGGTATGAGATGCATAATGAATGAACTAAACTAAAATTTCTCACTGCCACCCACAGGATGGGTATGGGGTGCATAAGTGAATCTTACTAAAAATAACTTTCACTACCACCCGGAATTGGGTATTAGTGTACTGTATTAATTTAGTTACACTGAATAATTTTCATGGGGGGCACCGTATCTAGAGTGGCCTCGACAGGGAGAGGAAAACGGCGGCTTGCTAAAGGTACCCTCCCATCCATTTGTCCTGATGATTTCATAGTTGGATCTTTAATTACAACTGTTTTGGTATTTACAGCTTTGGCGGGTAGGCGATTCCATTTTTGTTTAACCCTGTGGGTGAAAAAGTATCTTATGTCATAATCTCTGTTGATAAAACAAGGGTTCTTATTCCCCCATTCTCTTCATGTTAACTATACTATTAATGGAGTGCCCGTGGAGAATTGAGGCTTATGAGTATCTTGGAATGGAGGTTAATGATACAAATCCCATCAGCAACCTTCGCAAAAAACTTGAGCGTCTTAAACGTCTCAAAACTCTTGTGGGCATTAACATAAAATATGCTCGGTTTTTATAGTGCCTTTATACGATCTGTTACTGATTATTATACCTTGCATTTTCTTAATTGTTCTCCTAAACTACAAGGCCTAGATGTAGTACAAAATGCTGCCATGCGTATCATCCTGGGTTGTCCTAGAACTGTCAGATTTGTTAACATGAGAAAGGAACTAAGATTACCATCTATTTACGAGAGAACTGTTCTACTTAGTGTACTATGTATTTAATACTGTACTACTACTTAATACTATACTATGTTTTGTGCCAAAATTTTGAAAAATAATGGTCCCCCAGCCCAGCTCTATTGAAATTTTTTGTATGGCGTTTTAAATTCAGCTACTCGGAACAAAAAGTTCCAAGTAGCACGGGCTATGGTGAGCCCATAGTGGACTTAACTGGCACAAGAGCGGGGCTGTAACTTTGAATTTTGTCGCCTGGTGTTCCTTATATCTGAAACACAGAGAGCTGGAAGTGTCCTTAAAACAACTTTCAGTTAGAACATTACAAGTGGTAGAAAAATGTCCATTGTTTATTCTTGTAAATAATAATCAAATAACCAATATGTATTATTTATTACTCCTGCGAGTAGGGAGTGATGTACATGCAGCTATGGCGGTGTGTCCACTCAAAAGATGAGTGGTGATGCCCAATAAACTCGCCCCTCGGGGCAAAATTTAATTTAATTTCCTGCGAGTGTTCTACGTACCAAAGCCAGCGCCACTCTGCATCGTTCGGACACAGTGTTTACTCCCGAGCTGATGCCAGCATCCGATCCCTCGATCGTCGTCGTCCATAACACAACAACAACAGTCTGGGCCCGTCGCTCCTTAGTCAACAACAGCAGCTACAGCTCTGGTTATTCTTAGTCCTGCCTTGACGCTGTCTGGACCACTCTTCTACTCTGCCTAGGGGTTCCCAGGAAACGTGTGGTGTTTGTTACATGTGCTGTAAAGCAGGTACCTTCTTTAAATTCCAAGATGGTTGCGACAGGTCCTGACAGGTTAGTGATAATGAGGACTTTCTAAGGAATTATGTAGAAAAAATAATTTTTAAACTTTTTGAAATATGGGCAATCACCTTGAATTCCACCGAGAACGCTCGCCTGGCATTTCGCAAGCTCTGTCCTGGGTTCGTATCCTTCTTGATAGTAGGTGCAGTTTGCATGAAGGGTTTGTCCTCCCGATGACTGCACCAGTACAGATGCTGCTAGAGGCGTTTATGTTGAAGATGATAAGAGTTTCAAAAGTGCTTGTTGCGTTGTGCTGTAGATAGGGGAGCGACGACTAAAACAGAGGTGGATGTTAGAGGGAGACTTGCCGCACCGTAGGGCGGTATGTTGTGTTTATGGCGTCAGCTGATCCATGGCATTGAGACGAGGCAGTTGTTTTCTGTGTTTAGCTGTTGGTGGTGCCAGGTATAAATGTGGCACGGGTCAGATGTGGCCCAATTTGTTGGTCGACTGGAGATATTTAGCCAGTGCTGACTTTTATATTTTTCCTGTAATGAGTGATCAACTCCTAATATATGCTCGATGGTAAAGGGTATTTTAAGTGCGATAATTACTTGTTTGAAATTTACTCTAGCACTATTATGTCTGTAACAGTGAAGGAGATAGTGTTAGATTGTTTCAGGCACCTGACAGTGGATGCAGAGTTCGTTGATGTCTGTTCTGTACTTAGAGCTGTGTGCTGCCAGTTTGGTGTGTCCCAGCTTTAATCCGGTCATTGTTACATAAATTTCTCTTTTATATCTGACATGTTTCCTTTTCTTTTTATTGGACCCATAGTACAAAGGTGAGCATGACGTTTTCCATTTCGTTGCAAAATTTTGGGCGATTATTTTTGAAGGCTCCTTACGTGCAACATGAGGAATTGGACGATGGGTAATGTGATGCGTGTTCTGGCTGGGGAGGATTTACTGGACTTCAATCCTAAACTGTAGCCTCTGTTTAACTCAACAGTAAAATGGGTACCTGGTTGTTAAACAATTTTTTGTTTTTGCGGGGTCGTATTCCAGGGAACATAGGATTAATGACTTGCCCGAAACGCTACTCGTACTAGTGGCTGTAGAAGAATGTGAGAACTCTCGTATACAGTGGGGCCTCGATTTACGATGGTAATCCATTCCCAGAGACGTATCGTAAGTCGAAGCGATGTTTCCCATAATAAATAAAGGGAACTGGAATTGATCCGTTCCCCACCCTCCAAAATATTAACTTGCAAATACATTTTATACTCGATACAATTTTTTTCTATAACTACATTACAGTACGTATGTTTATCTTACACCATCAAGAGTCCTACATAAAGGTATGGAAGATGGTGAGGAGGGGGGAGGAGGAGAGGTGTTACTGTTTGAAAGGGAAGTCCCCTTCCATTACAACATCAGGCAGTGATGACTTTTCTGGGATACACTCTCTGGCACGTTTTGCCTGCATACCACTGGGACCGGCTTGTGGCTCTTTGCTTGCTTGTCTTACTTATCTGTCTAAAGACATTTGTTTTCCCTACATTTTAACACTTGTCTGTAGTAAGACATCACATTGTCATTTAAAGGTCAATGCAACGGCCTGCTACAGCTTTATCTGGGCGAGTTTTTTGAACAAAACTTTGCAGTTCTTCCCACATTTTCTTAATGAGGAAGGGACATCCTCTACTGCCTCTACTCACAACTATTTTCTTAGGTTGAACCTTACCACTGACTTTCTTGGGACCCATGAGTTGTATTATAATAATCAGTTTTATGTTCAAAAAGCAAAAAATCATGACAAAAACGGAATTTTTTATAGGAGTGATCGTCAGTAAGCGGGCAGCTATAGTAAACCGAGGCAGGTCGGCTCGCGGTCGACCCTAACGTGTACCAACAAATATTGTTTGTCGACAACACTATTATAAGTCGAGTCACATTTTTCAATCAAATTTACATTGTAACTCGAAATTATTGTAAGTCAAGGTGCCACTGTATATAAGTAAATAAAAGAAAGTTAGTCATTTTTTTTTTATAGGCATCATATTTTGAAGGGGATTTGGGGAAAAATATGACCATTCAGCGTTTTTACTAATTTACGACTTTTTATACTGAAAAAATGTAATGTGAAACTTCAAATACTGTACCGGCAATCGCCCTGAATTCCGCTCAGAAATAACGCTCGTCATATTTCCGATAGGCATTATATTTTGAAAACTGCAGGGGAATTTTACCAAACTGACCAGTCGCCAATTTAACTAATCTGCATATTTTCGGTATGAAAAGTCGTAATTTACAACTCCTGGATCAGTAAATGACTGGACGGCTCCTGGAACTGTATAAGACTGGAAGGCTCCTGGATCAGTATAGGGATCAGTATAAAAGTGGAAAGCTCCTGAATCGGCATATGATTGGATGGCACCTGGAAAGTTCTTGGAGCAGTCTAAGATTGCAAGGCTCCTAGATCAGTACAAGACTGGAAGGCACCTAATCCAGATGCCTTCCAGTCTCGTGTTGATCTAGGAGCCTTCCAGTATTACACTGATCCAGAGCCTTCCAGTTTTACACCGATCACAAGATATCACATGATATTTCAAAATATATCACATATCAAAAGATATCACAATATACTACATTAAAAGATAACATGATATCTTTCGATATAATTTGATACCACATATCAAAAGATACCACGTGATATATTTGGATATCGTGCAATATCATGCTATATGTATTATATTGATATTACATATCAAAATATAATACATGATATGTGGTATCTTTTGATTTGTTGTGATATCTTTTGGTATCTTGTAATGTCTTTTGATCTTTTGATGTGTGATATCTTGTGATACCAAGTTATATCTTTTTTGTGATATAAAAAAGAAATTGGATGATATCAATGAAGATATCACAAGATATAAAAAATATGGTGCAAGATATAAAAAATATGCAAGATAAAAAAGATGTTACAAGATATCTTGCACCATCTTTTTTTAATATCTTGTGCTATCTTTTTACAATATTTTATTAATATCTTGCACCAATTTTTAATATCTTGCACCATCTTTTTAGAATATTTTATGCCATCTTTTAAAAAATCTTTATTTTTACAAAATCTTGCACCATCTTTTTAAAATGTATTGCTCCATCTTTTTAAAATATATTGCGCCATTTTTTTTATCTTGCACCATCTTTAGAAAAATCTTGCGCCTTATTTTCAAAATATATGGCACTATATTTTTAGAATATTTTGCGCCGTCTTTAGAAAATCTCAAACCATCTATTAAAAAAAAGATGGTGCAAGATATTTAAAAAGACACTATATTTTTAATATCTTGCTCCATCTTTTCGGAATAGTTTGTGTCATCTTCAGAAAATCTTGCACCATCTTTTAAAAAATTCTTTTGCCATCTTTTTAAATATATTGCACCATCGTTAAAAAATCTTGCACTATCATTTTTTAAAAAGATGGTGCAAGATTTTATATTTATTATTTATTTACAAGATATTATATACAGTATTTTAAAATATTGCTCCATCTTTTTAGAATATTTTGCGCAATCTTTAGAAAATCTTGCACCAGCTTTTTAAAATATTCTGCAATCCTTTTTTAGAACATTTTGCGCCATCTTTAGAAAATCTTGCACCAGCTTTTTAAAATATATTTCACTATCTTTTTAAAAATATTGAGAAATCTTTAGAATATTTTTGTGCCATTTTTTGAAAATATATTGCACCATCTTTTTAGAATATATATTGTGCCATCTTTAAAAAAAAAGGCACAATATTTTAAGACACATTGTGCCATCTTTACAAATAGTCTAAAAAGATGGCACAAAATATTCTTTAAAATGGGGCAAAATATTAAAAAGGATTGCCCAATAAGTTTTAAAAAAGATGGTGTAATATATTTTTAAAATATGGCACAATATATTTTTAAAATATGGCACAATATATTTTAAAAAGATGGCACAATATATTCTAAAAATATGGCACAATATTAAAAAAAGATGGAGCAAGAATTAAAAAAGTGGAGCAAGATATTCTAAAAAGGCGCAATATATTTTAAAAAGATCGCGCAAAATATTAAAGATGGTGCAATATATTTTAAAAAGATGGTGGAAAATATTAAAAAAAAGATGGAGCAATATTTTAAAACATATTGCGTCATCTTTAAAAAAAGATCCCGCAATATGTTCTAAAAGATGGCACAATATATTAAAAAGATGGAGCAATATACAGTATAAAAAAGATGGAGCAAAATATTCTAAAAAAAGATGGCGCAATATATTCTTAAGATGGCGCAAAAAATGCATTCTAAAAAGATGGCACAAAAAATGCAGAAAAGATGGTGCAATATTCTAAAAAGATGATGCAAAATATTGAAAAGATGGCACAAAGCTATTACAAAAAAAGATGGCGCAATAATTTTATATACATTGCCCCATTTTTTGCGCCATATTTCCTTTTAATAAAATTGTGCAATCTTTTTAAAATACAAATTAAAAAAGATGGCACAAAATTTTTGCGCCATCATTTTAAAAAGATTGCGCAAAAATATTCTAAAGATGGCGCAATCTTTTAGAATATTTTGTGCCATCTTTCTTTTTAATAAATTGTGCCATCTTTTTAAAATACAAATTAAAAAAGATGGTGCAAAAAACTTTTGCGCCATCTTTTTAAAAATGTAATTTAAAAAGATGGCACAAAAGTATCTTGTGCCATCTTTAAATTATGTTAAAGATGACGCAATTTATTGGAGAAAGATGGCACAAAACATTCTAAAAAGAATGCACCATTTTTTTGCGCCATCTTATTCTAAAAAGATGGCGCAAAAAAAGGGGGCATTCTTTAGAATATTTTGCGCCATCTTTTTTAAAATATAATTTAAAGATGGTGCAAGACTTTTTGCGCCATCTTTTAAAATTTAAAAATATAATTTTAAAAGATGGCGCAAAAAGTATCTTGTGCCATCTTTAAATTATATTTTAAAAAAGATGGCGCAAAATATTCTAAAAATGCACCTTTTTTGCGCCATCTTTTTAGAATAATATGGGGCAAAATATGGTGCAATCTTTTAGAATATTTTGCGCCATCTTTTTAACATAATTTAAAGATGGCGCAATATATTTTTTGCGCCATCTTTTTTAAATTTGTATTTTAAAAAGATGGCACAATTTATTAAAAAGAAAGATGGCGCAAAATATTGCGCTATCTTCAAATATTTTTGCGCCATCTTTTTAAAATGGCGCAAAAATCTTGCACCATCATTTTTAATTTGTATTTTTAAAAAGATGGCGCAAAAAAATGGTGTAATGTATATAAAAATACTGCGCCATCTTTTTTTGTATTGGCTTTGCGCCATCTTTTCAATATTTTGTCATTTAAAAATATTGCGCCATCTTTTGTAAAAAAAAATTATTGCGCCATTTTTTAGAATATTTTGCGCCATCTTTAATATTTTGCTTTTTCAATATTTTTGCACCATCTTTTGTAGTGACAATTTAGAATATATTGCGCCATCTCTTTAAAATTTATTGCAACATTTTCTTTAGAATTTGAGCCATTTTTTTTGTTTTTGCACCATCCTTTCAGAATACAGTATTGCACCATTTTTTTTTTAAATATTGTGCCATCTTTTTAAAAAGATGTCACAATATATTTTAGAATACTATGGCGTCTTAAATATATTGCACCATCTTTTTTAATATTTTTTGCCATCTTTAAGATGGCACAATATTTTTAATATCTTGACGCTTTAAAAAAGATTGCGCAAGATATCTTGAGATAACGTGACAATTTGCTATGACCATTCCCTTCTGTGAAGTGGTAATTATTCAGTATGAACACAATTTGTAAACATTTATTCACCCTGTTATAAAAATTCTTTACAATAAAGAAATGCCACTGATGAACTACACATAGGGGAAGACAGTTCAACAGCCACTGTAGTTTGAATAACAAACACCAATACTTTAACTAAGCTTTACATGCACCAATTTGTTTCACAAAACCTGGTTTGCAAATACAAAAAACTTGCTAATCTTTAAAGCACAGTGACAAATTAATTTTAATATGTAGCACCTACAAGTACTAGGGCTATTTAAATTTGTGCTGCACCTATACCAGCCGGGGGTACAATAATATATACAGAAAGGTTACCGTTTCCATTAAATTTGTTAAAACCAGCATGTTTAGCTCACAAGTTGCTAAAATTTTAAATACAATTTTCCACCAAGTCTATCTAAAATGGTGATGCAAACAGTTTAAAATTCATGCATGCTATCCAATCATCTACATAACATTCACACAAATTTACATTGTCATGCGTCACTGGCAAAACTTCTCTGAAGCTTAAGATATCAAGGTTGGACACTAAACTTTGAACATTGGTCCACTTTGAATTTTAGCTGCATACAGGACAAATTAAATGATTTGACAATCTTTCCTTTCAAAAGGCAAAGTTGTCAGGCCTAGCTTCTACATAATTCATAGATAAGGTGGATTTCCTTAAGGTGGCCACAACTGGCAAGAGCCACTCTTATATAAGGTAATCTTTCTTTACCGTCAACATGCTGTGCATCAATTGTGGGGGTTATTTAAACCCCAAAACTTATAATTACAGTATATAAAATACATGAGAAACAATGTGAAATTTATCAAATTGTCATAACTTTACACTGAACAAAGTTTTAGTAAGAAATTTTATGTACACTGTACAAGTACTGAATGAAACGGGTCAAAACTAATGAATTTGTACACAAACCACATTTAAAATTAATGCAAAGCTGTGGTTGTAAAGTCCAAGATTCAACAATGATTAACAAATTTCCAAGAGTGCAGTACATGTATTGTCATGCACATTAATTTCTTTAGTTTACAAATTATTTTAGAAAGTAACTTTACTTAGTTTTTTTTTTTTTCCCCCAAGATTTTTATTAAAAAATTTGCCATTCATTACAAAGATTGTTCTATTCTATACAGCAAGTGATGACCTTAATTATGAAATATTTAGAACTAATACTAGTAAAATTTGTACAAATATATTCTCAAAACTCGGGGTTCATGACTGCTACCCAAGAAAATGCATGCTTAAAGTATTACTGGCAAGTAAATTCATCTGTCAAGTAAGGTATACAAATGTGGTACAGACACCATGTCAAAATCTACTACAATAGGCTATTTTACAAATATAGCATTCAAACATTTGTCAAAAGTTTTAGACCTTTGACAGAGCTTTGCTACTTTAAGGTACAGTATTATGCATCTTTAAATTAAAAATTTTATATATTGATCACTTGCTAGGGCAGACTAGTGTACACTACAACATTTACATTAAATATTAAAATTTCATATTTTCAGCTTTTATCATTACACTAGTCATCGCTCAAGTTTTCATTAACACTGTGCCAGTTAATGAAAGCCTTTGTGAAAATTCTCTAAACCAAGTCAATGTCTTTCCCTGAGAACTTATCTAATTTAGTACACCAATCTATTAATCACAGTATCACTATTATTGTTATAATCATGTCAGTAGCACTAGACGTTACTAGTGCACAGTTGCTAGCACTAGTCTATACACATTCTCCTGTAGTAGCTACCAATAAAACTTCCCACATCTGTCACAGCTTCCATCATCGTCCCCTGCCTCTGAGGCTCCTCACATGCCTCAAAGCCGTACGTAAAGTGTTCTGTAAATTTAAACGAACATTAATACAAAATGGTTGTAAAGCTTTTATATACCCTGTATTTCATTTTTTTTTACAAGGAAGAAAACAGAAAAAGCAAAATCAAACATGCACATTCCTGCAGTGAATGCTCTAAGCAACGATGTCATGTCTGGCATTGAAGTGTAGACAAGTAATTATTTCATGATTCAGCAAGCTACGCAACATGCAATGTCCAGAAAGAGCAAGAAAAGTATTACAAGTCCACCACAATACTGCCAGACTAATCAATCACCTTGCCTCAGCAGTTGTAGTGAACAATTTTGTACAAATGCTTCTGAAGTTGTGTAAGGCCACCACATATTTTCAAAGAAAATAATTTCCTTGGAGACTTAGTGCATCCATATAGATGAGATTCTGCATGGAAATTGCATAAAAATAAAAGTACTTTACTACTAAAAAGTTTAAATTATAAACAAAATTAAACTTTGAAGAAAAATTATATAACACTACATTACAGTAAATCTTGTTAAACTACATGTACAGTATTTTACGTTCAGGGATCAAACCATTTATACCAAATTAGTGTACACAATATATTTATACTTCAAGTGCATGTACTTTTACAAAATTAAAATTTTTGTACTGAACAATGAAAAACTACCTTACAATAAGAAGTTTACATTTTGGCAAAATCCTATTAAAACTAAGAAATTGCCTGCAAAATTAATCAGTATTTGAGATGCCTAACTATAGCCATCTAGTCAAAACCTGTGCAGTCACGCTAAAGCCATTCTTTTTACACAGTATGAAGGGATATTCCGGTGCTACAACAGCTCTTGAGAAGGTTCAACTTTTAAAGCCTGCCATGTTTATCAACATGACATACAAGAAGCCCAGGTGGTACAATTTTACGATACCAATCTTGCTAAATCCACACCTGGTCTATTTAGTTTTTATCTTTAGATTTAAGAGCTTTTAAATTTGAAAGATTTGTATGAACTTTGGAAGTGGGAAATAATGGTAAAATAAACCAAGTGACTTGCATCATAAATAGTAAACTACATAATTCAGGGAGCCCAACCAGTTTTTAAACAAATAGGTTACTGAAAAATGTTTTACAGAGCAAAATTAACAATTTTGAAGTGATTGCAATTCAATCTTTAGTAATAATGACCAGTGGATGAAGGAAAAATAACCTAAACATTATTATTGTACATTAACAAATACTGTACACTTTCAACTTCACTAATTAGGTCTTCCATTTTCCAATGATTGGGGAGGGTGAGCACCCCTAGGAGGTTCAATCACTACATCTTTAACCTGCATTGCCTTAGACTCTACAAGCTGCTCAACCTTAAATTGTACAGTATATAGCTATGATACCATCACATAATCATTATGTAAATGTGCAATTTGTGTAAACTATGCATAAATTGTTGATTAATGGTGTGATGCCCATTCTATAATTGTCAGGACCATTAGACATTACTCATTCGAAGTGCCTCAAATCGAACTTTATTCAAATCGTTGTAAATTTATAAGCAATTAAATTTCTTTAGGCCCTTTGAAGATCAATATCTATGTCTTGACCAGAGTAATTATTATAGAAATGACATCACTGCTCAAATCTAAAAATTTTGCCCAAATTTTCCCAAACACCAGTCAAGGTAGAACTCCAATTTCATTCTATGAATGCCCCATGTTAATCACTGACCTCTAGAAACCCTCTGATGGTAGAATTTACTCCACTTTGTTGACACCAAGCGCCTAGGAGAAAAGTTTACGTATATAATATGCCTCTAATGATTTTAACTACTGGTACACATTGCAATATGGTTGTGTCCAGAGGCAAACTTTGGATGTCCATTCAGCTAGTTTTGTACTAACCAAATTATATGCTTAAGATTGTGCCTAAACTTTATATTATTAGCTTTGCAAGCACTTCCATGTCAGATTTTCAATTAAAACCCATTTCAATTACACTCATTGGTTCTAGTTTAGTCTAACAGTCCTGCAGCCCTTGCCACATATCAAATGGAGAGGTGTTTATCTAAAGTCCTGCCAAAAATGTACAATTATACTTTAATCATTTTTACATCCAAGTAATTATCAAAAGACGCCGCCAAACCGGGAAGGCTATGTAGCACCATCAAACGTGCAGAATAATTCGAAGGCGCTAAATATCACCAAGGATGCCAATATGAGAAACCAACCCGTTCTCGCAAATTCGTATAGTCAATACAGGTATTGACTTATTAACTACGTGCATAGGTGACATACTAAACATAATAGATACCCTTAAAAAGCTTCATAGAAAACACCGACCTTACCTAACCTTGTTAGTATGTTAAGATTAGAATCTTATTGCTTCGTAATTACAATTATTACTTAACCTATACCTACAATAGGTTAAGTAACAATTGTAATTACGAAGCTATAAGATGCTTATCTTAACATACTAACAAGGTTAGGTAAGGTCGGTGTTTTCTATGAAGCTTTTTAAGGGTATCTATTATGTTTAGTATGTCACCTATGCACGTAGTTAATAAGTCAATACCTGTATTGACTATACGAATTTGCGAGAACGGGTTGTTCTCGCGCACAAGGCGAACGATATCAAAAGTATCCAATTCACCAACAATTCAATCGAGGGAGAAGTGACTGCAGGGGACAGTTGGAAGGCAAGACACCATTAAGTTTACAAACATTTGTTCAATTAGTATGATATTCTTCTGAAGTACTCTGGAGTATTAAAATTATTCGATTGCAGCATTTGGCCTTTTAACATAGTACTTATCATTTTTATGTTAATGTAAATTGTGTTTTGAGCAATTAATGACCTCATTTTACTGCAAAACCATTTAGGTACCAGGATGGTATAATAAACTGGCTATTTAACAGACCATATATATTTGCTTAGTAGTCTGAATAAAATTAGATAGTGTTGAAAAGACGTCAACATTTCCAAGCATTTAAGTTACAAAACCAACACCAAGGTTGTGCCATACAATTGCGTCAAGAAAAGGTTAATACACACGTTCAAGTCTTAACGAAACATTTGCCCTATAAAGAAATTAACCAGTGATAATAGCTACAGTATATTATACTAGCATATACAGATGGCACTTTCAGTATACAGGGAGGAACATCTGTCTGCTCCTTTGATGTTTGTACCAATGTTACACTATAAAATCACCATGATGCATCCTTCTCCATTTAATTTTATTAAATATAGCAAGTGAAATATGTACCAATTTTGCCCGAGAATTTGCCTAGTAACGATATTTAAAATGGCACAAACCATTTTCCTAGTGAAAGCTGTTATGGTAAACTTAAGTGTTGACAGATTTTACAACTGCCAAGAGATCACAAAATCAGGCATTACAGATAAGCTATTAATCTGAAGAAAAAAAAATTAATGGCCTTTGAGGAAAACTTGCTTTACAAACAAGTAGTAACCAAGATGTGCAACTCCTACCTTTAAAGTACTCTTCATGTAGCTTCAAATTTTCCACGAAGAAAGTATTGTCCATAGGACCTATACTTCCTCCCAGCTCCTCTGGTAACTCTTCAGCTGGAATGTGTTGATGGAGAGAGTGAAGATCTTCTCCATGAAAATGCAGCTGTGGAAATATTCAACATTTATAACTATTTTGCCAGCTAACGCCCAAGATGCAACAATAGCAAATGCAAGATTACCCTTTAAGTTCAAAGATTTGGAAACCAATTTGTGTATGAGGTAAAGTCCAATCCCATTGATTACTGCCATTGAAGTCCAAGGTATGAAGACAATTCCTGCCAACATTTGGGGGCTGAAAACTACACTAATTTATCTGCTGCCCGCATTAGACGCCACTAATATTTGTCAATCTTTACTTAAAAAATACCACTACGTACTACAAATACAACGTTTTCCCACTTACCCGTCCTTTTATAGTGTCCGAGAGAAATGGCTTTATAAGGCTGAAGACCCAGTCAAATATAGCTGGTTCGTGTACAAAGTGCAAAGCCTTAAACCTCAGGGGGAACACTTCCTGAATGGTTCACAAAGAGAAAGTTACCATCTAACTAGAATTGCATATAAAAATTCTTAATCAAATTAATCTAATTTCACTCACAGCACTGGTTAGTAATTAGGCATTTATTCAATATTCATGCAAACTAATTCCCATGCAGTACTACCTTCGTATGAAATTTACCATACAGACTGAAATTATCAATTAAAGCAAAGTTTTGGCCAAAGTTTTTTTTGTACACACGTAAATTACTTTATACAGTACCTGTAATGGATATATTTATTATATGTTCAGTTTTCACAATTGAAAGGTCTAGCATTCAATTCCTGTAGGACTTGTCTGGTAAATTTATTTTCACCTGACACTTTTCTTGGCCCAGTAGAAGATAGGCACCCCATGTGTTAGACAACTAATGGGATGCATCTTGGGAAAGGCACAACTTTGCTTAGCCCTAGAGGAACGTTTGCAAACTCCACAGGCTTCCTGTCCTCATTTAGGGAAAACCAAACTAGTCAAAAGCTTCAGGTGGATGAAGCATCATCCAGAATTTGAAAGTAATTTCACAATTAACCAATTTAAAACTGAAAATGTTTAGACCCAGTAAAAATAAAGTACAAGGGATGAAAAAGGCAAGCATCAACAATCTTCAAGAAAGGCAATACCAAAACTAATGAACCTAACTTCATGTATTTGCAAGCTTGTGGAAAATTAGTGTGCCATCTGTGCATAATCTTTTAAAGCATCACTGCCTCAATTCTCACCTAATAAACCTGTTTACCTTTCTGGAAAGGTTTACCAACCACAAAAGGTGTTATGTACATTAACTAGAGCTTCATACAACATACCACACTGTACTGGGACAAACCAAGTGCATTGACTAAACAATAGAACTCTTACAACAACAACAAAACTATTTTAGGGCCAATTGTTATAAGTTTTGGACTTTTCAAAATTACCCAAACTGAAAGATTCTAATTTTTAAATTTAAAAAACAGCACCTTACATTTAGTAAGGTTAGCAAGGGGCCTCGTAGCCTGGTGGATAGCGCGCAGGACTCTTAATTCTGTGGCGCGGGTTCGATTCCCGCACGAGGCAGAAACAAATGGGCTAAGTTTCTTTCACCCTGAATGCCCCTGTTACCTAGCAGTAAATAGGTACCTGGGTGTTAGTCAGCTGTCACGGGCTGCTTTCCTGGGGGTGGAGGCCTGGTCGAGGACTGGGCCGCGGGGACACTAAAGCCCCGAAATCATCTCAAGATAGTACACAATACCCAAGGAAATTAAATGGAGACGGTATTCCATTTCACAAACCTCTGCTGTACTCACGTCTGTATATCTTTGCATTGAGACCACCTTCAAAAGCACAACTACAAGGGGGGGGGTAGGCAGAAATTGTATGCATGTTAATGCAGCTCAGTCTCTCAAACAACGATGTAACCACATATATAAAATTTGCTTAATCATGTGTGAAAGGAATTAAATAACTTCAAGATCTAAGAAGTTGTTCTGGGTACTAAACTGTCAAACAAAACATTGTGCAAGTATGCAACTAAAACTTCAGACTTAATTACATGGATGGTGAAATACTAAAGAACCTGTTCATAACTTTTGAGACCAAAATTGGGATATGCAGCAGTTGTATGGTGCCCATCTCAAGCTGCACATCACTAAACCTGGAAAGTTGCAAAGGCATGCTACAAAATATTTTCCAGAACTGAAACAGAGCCGTTTAAATTAATATGCCAAAGCTAGGAAAATAATACAGTATAGAGACAATACGATCATGTGCAAAATAATACAACTAAAATCTACAAAATTGACAAGAATTCCTGAAACCAGCATCTTCAAGAATAAGGAAAGATTCAAGCGGAGGAAACAAAGGCATCTAAAAAAGTGTCCAGTTTTCTTTTGCAAACCGAGCAGTAGATGTTGGAGGCCAAAACAGTCAGTCGTTTCAAAGAGTTATACGACAGTACCAGGAAGACAGAACACCGAGCGTAACTCATCTCTTTACTACACTACATTTAGGCAATTACACACAGTGTAAGAGAGGAGGGGTAGGGGTCTTGCAGAGTGGACAGCACTCGGGGTGTCATAATTCTAAGGGCCTGGGTTTGAGCCCCAGTTGAGGCAGAAACAAGTGGGGTCTAGTTTCTTTCACCCTAAAGCCTCTGTTCACCCAGCAGTAAACAGGTACCTGGGAGTTACAGCTGCTGTTACAGGCCACTTCCTGAGGGTGCACATGCACATGTTAGAAATATATGTACAGTACTTGGTAGATATAATAAGAGGAAAATCGATTGGTTAGAAAGGCGGGGTCCAAGAGCCAATACTGTAGTTCAATTTTATTGACTAATAGTAAACACAAACTTTGTTAATGGCCTACCCACAAACCATAAATGCCAGGAGTACAGTCCTGCAGTTCAAAATATACCCAAGAATTTAGGTACAGTATAACAGGGACCTGTAAGCCACTGGCTTCCTCTACCTGTCGAGGGCACTAGACACAGTAGCCCTCCGATAAATTCAGGAATTCATTATCTTTAGTTACAAAACATACCAGCCTTACCTGTATAACCGAAATCATTCTTCTTATGTGAGTAGGTGTGAGGTAATAAGCGTGAGTCATGGAAAGCCCAGCACAGTCTACAACAGCTGCAATTCCCCGAAGCTGTGTGACTGGTAGCCTCACAACGTGTTCCAATAGCACAACTTGAGACCTAAACACATCATCTAGGCTGCACACCTCTGGCAGCCATGCTCCTGTGAAAATTAGATTTAGCAATTTTAAACTGCACTCAATTTCTGTAAGCAATATACTCTAGCTTCTGAAGTGAAGAGAAGCTAATAACTACACAGCAGTACAAGTGCATTACAAGTCAAGTCTGGCCTCAGGCTGGGCTTGGCGAGTAGAATTCCCAGAACCCCATCTAGCGGGTACAAATATTTAGGTCCTTTCAATGTAATGTAGGGCATACGTAAATCTGTGTATCTATGTATTTACGTATGTAGGTTAGCTTAGCATTTTAAAAGCACCGAATCACCTTCTGTGGTAGAGTGTTCAATAAACCCTTGAACTCTATGTTTAACATTTCTCTAACCCTGTCCATGGAGGACAGAAGAAAATGTATATATGCTGGTTAGCATTGTTAATGTGTGGCCACGTCTGTGGTAGAAAAAAAAAATATTGTACAACCAAGTACAAGAACCTCAGATTAACGTCCAATAACTTTTTTTAGAAGGTTTATTCGAGTGGACTTTTCTGCACCTTTAGTGCAAGCGTGATGGTGGCTATTCATGAATGCATTTCATATTAATCTTAAGAATTTTGTATAACAAATTTTATATATGTACGAGACTAGAGTTCAATAGGGTTGTTACAAATAGAGTTCAAACTTTTGAATGTAAATTAGGACCACATGAATACAAGTGGTGGAACTCAATTGGGGAGTAGCTGGTGTGAGTGGGATGAGAATAGCAATGGTACAAAGCCACCCCCCCCCTTAAATTAAAGCTTCCATGCAACCCCCCACCCCCCCAATCTGACCATGCCAGTACTCTGGCTGCAACATTTGCAAATTATAACCATTAAATATTATGGCAAAATCATTCCTCATTTAATAATGGCAAATTTAGTTAACTAATCAGGCATCAAGAAATTTAACAATGGAAAATTTCAGCCAATGTCTAGAAAATTAAGGGTGGAACCCAATGGTTCCACAGATCTGAAATATCAAAGCAAACATGCATTCCAAAAGGCAGAGGCATTGAAATGCAAAATATAAATGTAGATTATATATATGTATATATATCCCTACCTCGAGGTCTAAAAAGAAAGGAAAAAAAGGTCAGCTTTAAAATAAAAAAAAAAATTAAAAGTAGGTGTCAAGATAAACAAAAAAAAAAAAATCCCACCTGTTCTGAAGATGAGAACAGTCCTGCCTAAGCAATCTGGTGTTTGAAGGACAGTCTGCATATGTAGAGGCCACACATGATCCAGTGCAGTAGGGTGCAGATTGACGTACATATCTGCATTCTCCTGCCTTGCTCGATAATAACTGCGGATCTGAAAATATTGTACAATATGCTATACCTAACTTTACAGCTTTCCCAATATTTAATGCTGAAAGTTTTTGTAGTGATACACCAACCTTTGACAAATGCATTATGTTTCTGGCTAGAAGTTCATCTACACACTAGTGCCCATTCACACAAGGATTTCTAGATGTCGCTGGCATTACAATTCAAACTTCACAGTTCCTGTGCAGGCACTGCTGGATCAACAAACTACTGTAGTTAAAATGTTTAAATGAAAATTAAAGTAATAATTGAAGACAAATGGAACTTTATGCAGTCTCCAGGAACCAGCATTAGTGTTCAATTACACTTTAAAACTGAAGAGTAAGATTAACCAAGAAACCTTAAAAGATGCAAATGCAGAAGACTGAACTACAGGAGGGTTAGGGTCTAACCTGCTCAACGTTCAACAGGAGACTGCATTGCAAGTCAAACCAGCTAAGTAAGTTTGAAAGAAAATACAAAAAGTATCAACAAAGTTCATACCTCAAGAGAAAAGTGCACAAGAGAACAGAAAGCCCATGGTTCAACAGTGCATGAATGAGGGGGTTTGGGGAGGGGGGGGGGGGGGGGACAAAGGGCCATGGAAAAATCACCATACCAACTACAGAAGGAAATCTAACATACAAGTGCTATAATCAAGTCCACCAGAATCAGATGGGCCACAAAACAAGAACTATTATGATGAAAGCAAAGAACCAACTTTTCAGTTTTTAATGATACAGGGAGGACCACGGTAAAGAGCATTTAATCAAACCGCAGGAATATTGAAAAATTTAGAAAAGTGAAGATGCCTAGAGGTTTGAGGTCTGCAAACTAGAAGCAGATTGGTAATCAAGATTAGGCAACAGACTAGAAATTTATGCAGAAGAGAAAACGCCTTTAGAACCAATGTGTCAAAAATAGCACCAGTTAGTACCGAAGAGAACCCAAAAACCTGGAAGGCAAATTTAGTTCTAATACAGTATTCAACAAAGGTGGACTACATTAAGGACTAAACAAGATTAACAACTTTAATCCAGACTAAAATGCTAGAAAATAGTGAAACGCTAACAAGTAGATTTTGTAACCATAAGAATTAAAAAAAATATTAAATAATTTTGCACAAGTCATGAAAATAAACAGATAATCAAAAAGGCCAAAATTTATTTTTTGTTGGCAAGACCTTTTCAAATTAAGAAACTTTGAAGTTTAAGTACATAATAAGGCTGAATACTCACCATAGACATGGCCTTGTCATAGTCAAATTTGCGGGCCCTCAGGAATGCAAGGAGAAAGGCCTTGTCTAGGCGCGAGCGCAATGTTGGCTCTGCCTCTACCATCTCCCTGTTCATTAGTCAAGATAATTTAATCCATCCACTGAACACTTCAGAAAGTACAAACAGTAGTTTCAATTATTGCACAAACTATACTGTACTAATAAATGCTTATGGATGAATTTCCATTAAATTTTTAAATGGCCTACTGTATTTAATACAGCGAGTTCAATATTTTTAAAGGTTTCGTTAATTTTCAGATTGTTACAAGTAGTAAATCGTTTTGCCCAACATTTCAGGTTCTAGTACAATTAATCAGTGATAAACAGGACCATCAAATTCAAAAGCTACCAATTTACTCTAGAAGTAGTCAATGAAAATGCATTTTTGAACTTGCCTAAGTGCTTGCACATCCCGGTCAACCCATTCAGGTTTTTCATGGAGATCCCACTCTGCCTCAGCTGCTAATGCTTGGGGGAGGCTGCCATCTTCACCTTCTGGCACAATCCTCCTGTCCATCCTCAGTACTGCCTCAACACCAGTATCTACCTTGTTATTTATAAGCAATTCTTTTTCAGTCACTTTATTGACTTCTGTTACCCCTGATTCTGTTGAATCTTCTGTCTGTGAGGTCACCACTTTTTTGGACCTTTCTATTTCTGCAGGGTTAACAGGTTTTAATTCTGCCTTTAGAGAATTCTGGGAAAATAAATATTTATTTAGTCATGTTGGGCGTTTGGTCCTAGTCCCCTCCACGAAGACTAGGAAGTTCAGCAAAGAATACATGTCACCAGATATTTACACATTTCTGAGGGCCATTAATTATGCCACCAGCAATTGCTTTTACACAAAAATATACAGCAATAACAATTTTTATAAATACCTCTTTTTCCATTTCTTGTTTATCAAGCTGTCCCTGTATAGCTGGAGATACTGGCTGGACAGCAGCCATCCCAGCTTCATCTCTGGTTTCCACCATCTCGGCTGCCTCAGTGACAACCCCAGGTGCTGGGACTCTTGGCTAACAAGTCTTACTCCAGAGAAAAAAAAATTTAATATATAGATATTTAAATATATATATACATACATATACACGCATGTACTTAATATTACTAAAATGTTGGTTTTTATGATGGACGTGAGGAGGTTAATGATATTCCAAGACCTCAACCATCAGTAATGTTCATCTACTTATTAATTTGATTCCTTCAATAAAACATGCAAGTAGTACACCTAAATGTTTATTTACTTAATCTATAGAACAGTTCAGTGCTTTAGCACATTATGTGCGTCTTACCTTCTCACTACCTATGTGTTATGGGGTGCACAATATATTACTTTTCCACGTATTTTTTCGTCCTCTCCAATCGACCTTCACCGTACATGCTTTGAACGAGTTTCCCTTCCTTGCTGCTCTTACTTTCCCTTCTAGCGTCTGCCACCTGCACGCTTTGGCCAAGAGAACGGCCAGAAACAATTTCCGACCAAACGTATAGCCTCGTACTTTGATAGTGGGGACCTTGACAACCTACGGTCTTCCTGTGTCCCAGAATCATCCACCCATATCATTGTTCTCCCTCCAGAGAACAATCTGGGACATGCGCTCACGCATCGCTACCCAAATATTACCTTCTGGTTAAGTTATTCCCGCAGCTCCACACGCACTCCCACGGGGAAACTCAACCCAGCACCCTTAAAACTAACCCCCTTCGTCTTTAATGCCACCCAGAGTCATTTTAGAGTCAAGAAAAGCTACGAATAGAGCGCCAAAATTACGAATACCGCTTAATACAACTTTCAGTCTACTGGATTTAAGTTTAATAAAATTTAAAAACTGTACCACACTTAATTTTTTCAACACATTAATATGGTAAGCAACCACAATTAACGCCAAACTACGTACTAATTTACGGCCTTTTTTTTTAGATCACTCAGACGTGAACGAGCGAATTATGCTAGACGCAGGTGCTGCACAAGCTAATACGTACTTTACGAATTCAACGAGCAAGCTCAACACTTGTCACACTCCACCACTTAGGCTGGACGGTAGAGCGACGGTCTCTGTTCTTGCAGGTCTGCGTTCAATCCCCAAATGTCCAAGTGGTTGGGCACCATTCCTTCCTCCCGTCCCATCCCAAATACTTATCCCTTCTAAGTTACGACTTGTGCAAGTCGTAATGGTTTAGCACTTTCCCCTGATAATTATTCCGTTCAACACTTACCACATACAACACCCATAAATATTAATTATGGAATAAAAACTTTAGTGTCCACCACCTCAATCCATTATGTGGGCACATTTGTCGCCAGCCCGTCCAAAGGTTTCCTAACGTCAAGAAAAAGTCACATTAAAAAATGTCCCTTATCCTAATCTACCATTGGTCCAAAAACAGAAAAGACCGTACGCCACTTAAGCGAGCCGCTTCCATTTTCTAGTACGACAATTTTTGGTTTTATGCAACTCATACGATCGAAATGCTACTTTCTTTGTAAGAGACAGGTTGCCGTCACCGCCCACAGGATTAATGTAGTTCAAAGTATAGAAAAACTACATTCGAGGCCTGTAATTAACGAGGGCAAGTAACAAAGTTAGTCCCTCGACAACGCTGGTGGGGAGCTAAAACGAGGTCACCTTGGTTGGGAAGGTCAGCCCGAGAGTTATCAATAGTTTACTAGCAGGTGTTGTGTGGTGCATTGTTTATGTCAGCGATTCTGGTAAAGCAAGGGTCCCTTATATACCGGTTCTTTACATGCCTCAGTACAGGCTATCATTAAACTTCCACAAATATCCTACGGACCCATCCAAGGACGTGCAAGGGGAAAATTCTGATGGAGAGTGAAAGTCGGAAAGGACGGATAGAGTTAAAACAAGTTAGCAGAGGAAGAGCATCCAAGTTTAATGTGTTTTGATTCTATCCGCCCCACCCAGAATTATCATCCCTTTAGCAATCTGAAGTATGAAACTTGGTTTCCCAACTTTTGGAGCAATACACGTTTGACTGTACGACTGCCGATAAACTAGGCATTTACACAGGAAGACTGGCAAAGTCCGGGAATGTGTGCTAGTGTATGGTATGGGTGGGAGCAGTAAACCTGAGCGAATGTAAGGAAGAGGGCATGAAATATAAACACTATGGGGAAGACAACCTGGAAGATCAATGGAAAGACAGGAAAGGCATTTATGACTGTCAGTGGGAAGGATTAAATATAGCCTAGGACGCAACACGCTCCAATACAAGCTTAATTTATCATGCAACTTGCCTTTAATATCTAGTACGTTAACTGTTGCACTTTCGAAACGTTTACACCTAATTTTAATAACATTACTGGTGGGATCCGAGTACTGTATGGTGTTACGTACCTCTATAAGATACGTAATTAAATAAATTATGTACATTTATAATTGTGTATAAATTACATGTATGTATATTGATATACTTATGTTCTATGTAAAATAATTTCATGTTACATTGTTGGCGTTAGGCCCAACGTATCGTGGGAATGATCGTTTTATTCCTTTGTGTACTCAGTTTCCCATGGGAACTAATGATTTATATGTGATCATATGTGGGTAACATAGGTGAATAATAATTATGTGAACCTTATCTGGCAAATCGTCGTGGGATAGTCCGTTGCTGGATGAGCATGCCATCATTCCCCTTTGTATGTGTATTTTAATTACTATGTAAAGCAATAATTACCTTATTTTTGTTATACCAATATGTATTGACTATTCATTAAGTTAGTTTAAGATTACTCTTGTCACAATATGTTGCTCCATTGTAGAAATAATAAATATTGTAACTTTGGTAAATTTTCGCGGGGCAAAAGCAATGATTTTGACTCCCGCAGATATGTAGGTCAGTAGCTGATCCGGGCCAGGGGAGTTAACATCTTGTGGAGTTAAGTTGTACATTTTTGTTCTGTCATAACCATAACTAGAATAATCTGTTATATTAATTTCTGGGAGAGACCGTAATATTTTAATTTGATATATTTGTGATCTAGTGACATTTCTGTTCTTGCATAGAGATTTATATTGAATATACATATATATAGAGATTTCTATGTATATTTCTTCATTCTTAAGATAAATTTATTCAAATGCTTTGTACCAATTAGGGGGTTACACTGGTGACCCGCTCTAAGACAACAGCAGTTGTAGTATCTCTAGACATAAAAGCTTGGCTGTTGTAGGGTCACGAGCCGTAACGTACGATTGGTAACACCCACCACCACACGAAACTATCAGTGTCATGTATATGACAAAGTAAACTAATTGCGAAGTTCCGAACGGAATAGTCCGCACCTTCCGACTGACTCGCGAACACGGAGAAAACGCGACCCAAGTTGCCTTCAAACTTTTGATGTGGTAGTCACGAGGGATTTAAATTGGGTCTGCAGTGGTTGTTGGCTTGTTAGTGACGCTTTAGTATCGGATCCCTAGAGGGAGGGGGTTGTTTGTACTCCTGTGTGTACACAAGACTAATGTCAAACACTAATAATCCAGATTATTAGGTTGACAAGAGATGAAAGTTCTGACGATTATTTTATTTTACTGTTGGACAAATCTGTTATCTAAATTCAAGGCGTTTCTTAACCCGTGCAGTTGTTAGCGGGAAGGTTCAGCTTTAGTCATGACGGGCAACACCTACACAGTTGCCCACCCTCAAAATATTGCCAAAGTGTTGGTTAATCCAACAGCAAACCACCTCCCCACTTTCTTCCATCTTCATGACTAAAACAATGATTTGCCTGCAACCTGTCTTCAGATGCATTCATCAATTTAATGTATTTTATATTACAAATAGGGTTTCCTCGTACAAATTATTATTATTAGTGTGGGTCTTAGAGAGCTATGTATGGCCAGGCGTAGGTTAGGCGTTTAGGTTCTGTTGGTAATTTGTAGTATGTGGGTAAAGTATTATAAAAGATTGTCAGTGAAGTATTGTTCGAGAAATGTTCGAACGTCATCTGTCGTGTCCTGTGTAAAGCGTTCTTTCACAAACGGGGGCTTTGGCGGCTGGATTAACAAGCATTTGGCTTTTGTTGTCGAGAACGAACTGCTGAAAAAAAAAAATTAAAAACTGTTCGGAAAATGGAGTAATGCATCTTTGGGGATGGCACCAGGTTGGGCGAGCGACGTCTGAGGATAGTTCGAATGACAATTATTGCTGCCTCCATTCCCACCAATCACCAGGTTGAATATCTTGCCACATTTTATTTACACCAATAACAAGAAACCTGCTGCCCCATGCGAGGCTATTTATATCCCAAGCTCTCACTTTTTTTGTTTTACGGGCTCACCATAGCCCGTGTTACTCTGAACTTTGTTCCGAGTAGCTGAATCAAACAAAAATCACTCTTGGTCTGATGAAACCCAGGCCTCAAACTTTCCAGCAAATTTACTTTTATGATGTAACTTTGTAAAATATTTGAACACGCTTCAAAAGTAATGTCAAGATCTAAACTTAATTGAGTTTCACAGTTTCATTGTTCTAACTTATGATTATATTTTTAGAATCCTATTCATATTCACTTCTGGGTCTATTCAACGATCCCACAATAAAGTTAGGTGTTGGTTCATTAAAACTATTCTTTAATTACTCATAAGAAATTTATGATATAGTTCGTTCTTCAATGTGTGAACAAATGTGTATCCAGTTAATTCACACAAAACTTTCAGTACGTTTTCCTGCAATTAGTATGAATAAATTTATAATTTAATTAATAATGCACTTTATCTGGATTAATTACGTTAGGAAGAAGTTTTAGAATCTGAAAAAGATATGCAATTCCTATTGAATTATATAGGCCTATAACAAACTGCGTTCATTTCACATAACTGCTACATCCCTGAATAATAGCTTTCCAATAATAATGGTTCAGTTCTTTAACGTAATTAATGTTTTTCATTATACTGAACAAGGAGTTAAATGCAGGGTACATCAACTTTACTAAAAAGTACATATTTAATCCAATCATGTATATTTTCATTATTTTCAAATACTTCCACAAGCACTTTCACTTGCGA